TTCGAGAACTATGGGTTATAATTTTATTGCACCAGAGCATATTGCTATTGGTTTGTTCACCGTTGATGATGGAAGTGCTGGTCGGGTTCTTAAAAGGTAGTAACTTTTTTCTTTTTTAATGATCAAATTTGTTTCCTTTTTACTGGTGGAACATTTTTGTAGAACATGAACATGGTTTGTCTTGTTTTGAATTATCTGACATTTGAAGTTATTAGATAGTTAACTCAGAAGCTTGCTGAGGAAGCTCGATATATGCTGTATCATTTATGGTGATATTAAATGCTTTTACTTTGCATTGCATGTAGTCATGCAAATAGGGGCAAAAACAGGAAATGAACTAATGAACTATAGAGTTCTTACAATTTAAAGAAATTTAACATTTGATTTTTAGTGATTCACATTTGCTTGAGCATATGGGTCTGTAGCACATACCATGCAAGTTTCATGAGTATCATTACATTTTTTGTATTGAAAATCTCAGATTGGGAGCAAATGTAAATGACTTGGCAGCTGCAGCAGTCACCAGGCTTCAAGGGGAGCTTGCAAAAGATGGTAGGGAACCTTCAGTGTCATCCAAAAAGATGCGTGAAAAATCTCTTTCTGGTAATGCTGCTGTTTTAAGATCCCCTGGCAAGGCAAGAGGTACAAATTTGATCTGTTCCTTCGCTTTCTTTATAATTCTTTTTAGAATAATAGAGGGTAACACTTTGTACTTCGTTTGTGATTGTAAGGGAATAGTGCTTTGGCTCAATTCTGTGTGGATCTTACAGCTCGTGCAAGTGAAGGACGCATTGATCCTGTTATTGGCAGAGAGACTGAAGTTCAAAGAATTGTTCAGATACTTTGTCGGAGGACCAAGAATAACCCTATTCTTCTTGGTGAAAGTGGGGTTGGTAAAACAGCCATTGCTGAAGGACTTGCTATTAGTATTGCACACGCAGAAATCCCAGCATTTCTGTTGGTCTGTCTCTTCACAACCATCGATGGTCTAGATAGCATAGCTGGTTCCTTTTTGCTCCATCTAAATGCCAATAGTCATACATCTCATAAGCTTGTATCTCTGAATTTAACTACTTTATTGCTTGTTTCTTTACACAGAACAAAAAAATAATGTCCTTGGACATAGGACTGCTGATGGCTGGTGCAAAGGAGAGGGGAGAATTAGAGGCACGTGTTACTGCTTTACTAAGCGAGACAATAAAATCAGGTGCCCACTATTTGGAGTTGCTTTTTCGGGAGCTGAAGTATGAATTTTTGTTGTTTCTCATACTTGATGTGCTTTTTCTGCAGGTGATATTATTCTTTTTATTGATGAAGTCCACACACTTATTGGATCTGGTACAGTCGGCCGAGGAAATAAGGGATCTGGTCTTGACATTGCCAATCTATTGAAGCCTGCACTTGGGAGGGGTGAATTACAGGTAAATGTTTCAAAACATAGGCATGCTATTTACTGCAGTCAAAGAAGATGACACTGGAAATTAAAAATAACTGCATTAATATATCTGAATTACCTGTTGGAATTAAAGGGCAGCAGCCTTGTTTATTCTAAACGACCCCATTTTTTTTCTCCTGTAAAGCTTTTTTAAATGGGTTGAAGTTGGCATCTTTATTGCACTTTTGATATTCTTCGATCTACTTGCTGCAAAAGAGAGGAAAAGGAGATTTTACTGGTAGAAGATGATGGTTTTGAAACAGAGAGAGGAAATGTAGGAGTCAGATCTTTAATGAGCAAACTTTGTTTGAAAAGAGGGAGCAAAGAGAGAAAAAGTAGAAATCCAAGGTGGGGGAAGTCAAGCTCGTTGAATTTTTTTTTTTTTTTATGGAACGGTCCTAGTCTGTAGAGGGACCAATGCAGGGGCAGCCTCAATATTTTAGTATAGATGCTGCGTTTCTTCTTCTTCTTATTGTCATACCGTGATATATAGACCTTTTAGGAATGAAGTTCTGCTCATTGACAAAGCTCTTAATGTGCATTTTTAATTGGACATTAATATTTCATATCTTGCAGTGTATTGCATCAACAACTATAGGGGAATATAGGACCCAATTTGAAAAAGATAAAGCATTAGCACGAAGATTCCAGCCAGTGTGGATTAATGAGCCAAGCCAGGTTGTTTTTAATACAATCTTTTCTATATGTAAATTATTGTCTATTTCCCTCTTTTCTTATTTGGATTTGATATGATCACTTATAGGAGGATGCAGTTGAGATACTGCTTGGTCTGCGTGAAAAATACGAGTCCCATCACCACTGCAGGTACACTTTGGAAGCAATAAATGCTGCTGTGTACCTATCAGCCAGATACATTCCTGACAGGTATCTTCCGGATAAAGCAATTGATCTCATTGATGAGGCTGGAAGTCGAGCTCGTATTGAGGCATTTAGGAGGAAAAGAGAGCAAGAAACTGGCATTCTCTCAAAGGCACCTGCTGATTATTGGGAAGAAATCAGAACCGTTCAGGCCATGCATGAATTTGTAATATAGTTTCTCTTGTGATATACTTTAGTTTTTTTATTTGCTGTTAACCTCTTTTTTGTGCTTCTGTCATGATTAGGTCATGGCCAGTAGGTTGAAACATGATGATGGTGCTTCCAATGTGGATGATTCTAGTGAATTCCTTTCAGAATCGCCTTTGCCTTCCACATCAGATAATAATGAGTATGTTTTTTTTCTTTGCTGGAGTCATGTTGAATGATACATCCATTAGGTTCTTGGTCCTTTAGTCTCTGTCTGGTCTCAAACTAAACTTCTTGTGGTGATTCTTGCAGAACTATAATGGTGGGACCTGAAGATATTGCAACAGTTGCTTCAGTTTGGTCAGGGATCCCAGTGCAGCAGATCACTGCAGATGAAAGAATGCTTTTAGTTGGCCTTGATGAGCAGCTTAAGAAAAGGGTTGTTGGCCAGGACGAGGCTGTTGCTGCCATCTCTCGAGCTGTTAAGAGATCTCGTGTTGGCCTCAAGGATCCAGATAGACCAATTGCAGCAATGATCTTTTGTGGTCCAACTGGGGTTGGAAAAACTGAATTAACAAAAGCTTTAGCAGCATGCTATTTTGGGTCGGTAAGGCTTCATGCTATTATTCATGCCTTTTTCTCTCTTCAAATCCGTTTGAAATCAGTTTTAAACTGAATTAACAAATAATCATGCATGATATATATTATACAATTTTAAACCACAATATGGCCATTATTTGTATGTTTTGTTGTATAAGTTTGATATATCCAAGATATGCTTTATTTATTAAAAAGAGGAAAGGGCAGATCATTTTACTTTCGGCACAAAAGAAAGCTCTGTTTATATGAAAAATGAATACTTGAGCAGCCAAATATTCAAGGTTTGTTTTTTGGTGTATGTCACTTGGCCTGTAACACCTGTTTAATCTTGCTATGTTTCTGTCCTTTAATGCCATTATTCCAGGAGGATGCGATGCTTAGATTGGACATGAGTGAATACATGGAGCGACATGCAGTGAGTAAATTAATAGGATCACCCCCTGGTTATGTAGGTTATGGAGAGGGGGGTGTGCTTACGGAAGCTGTTAGAAGACGACCATTCACATTGTTATTGCTTGATGAAATTGAGAAAGCCCATCCAGATATATTCAACATCCTTTTACAATTGTTTGAAGATGGCCACCTCACAGATTCACAGGTTTGTTTGTTGTGAAGTGCACTTGTCTGATATGCTGGTATTGACAAAAAAAATAAATCGTGCTTTTCACTTGAGACATTTAAAGTCTTAACATTCAATAACTTTGATTGATATTAGTTGATCATCCATGTCTCTTATTCGAGATTCTGTGGATCAGGGTCGAAGAGTATCTTTCAAGAATGCATTGGTGGTGATGACTTCGAATGTGGGTTCTTCTGCCATTGCAAAGGGTAGACGTGGCTTCATTGGTCTCTTGCACGAGGACGATGAATCAACTTCATATGCTGGAATGAAGGCCCTGGTAATGGAAGAACTGAAGGCATATTTCCGTCCAGAATTACTCAACAGGATTGATGAAGTAGTTGTATTTCGGTCCCTCGAGAAAGCTCAGGTTTGCAACTTTCTGTTGATTCATTAAACAATAACCATCTTTCTTATCATCCCTTGGGAGGTTCACATAATGTCCGAAACAACCTCTTTCCGCTATAAGTTTCCAAGTATCTTTACATGCTGTAAAGTCTGTTTATCTAGGCTTATGTTATACGGAAACAATGTCGGTCACATCTATCTGGTTTCTGTTCAGATGCTTGAGATCGTAGACCTGATGTTGCAAGAGGTGAAAGCAAGACTCATGTCTCTTGGAATTGGTTTGGAGGTGTCTGAGTCAATCAAGAACCTCATTTGTCAACAAGGCTATGACCAGACCTATGGTGCACGTCCCCTTCGGAGGGCAGTTACCTCAATAGTCGAGGATCCCTTGAGTGAAGCCCTCCTGGCAGGACATTACAGGCCGGGTGAAACAGCTGTTATCGATCTGGATGCTTCAGGAAACCCCATTGTTACAAGTCGATCAGATCAGAACATCAGCTTGTCTGATACAGCATCTTTCTTTTAGTACCTTGTTCCTAGTACTATATAATTTCAATGATATAACCTTATACAGGTAAATAGTATAGGGATATTTTTTTTGGTAGTTTAGAGTATATATTAATTTATTCATTTGTATATAAGCAAAGCTTTCAAGTTATCAAACAATACGATACAATGCAATAAAATTATATATTTTATTTTCTTCAATTTTCCTTATGAAATATTGTATTTTTGGCATTGTAAAAAAAAATTGCCTTCCATAGTTCATGTATAAGTCATCACGTTGTTTTTTTTTTCATTGGGATGCGGTATAAATTTTATAGTCTATCAATTATACACGATCAATTAGTAATGTAAAAAAATCAATGATAATATATAAATTTTATATACTTAATAAATAATAAAAAAATAAATTATTGTTATAAATACCCAAAAAAATCTATAAATATCCACAAAAAATCTTATAAATAACCCAAAATTTTCTCAAAGAAAGAAAAAAAAAATCAGAAATTTTATATAATTGGGAGTACCGTTCCTGTACCGGGAACTCAAAGAGTTTAGCCTCTGAGGCTTAATTCTCAGTAAAATCATTCTGCACTAATCCCGGAAGTAATGGCCAAACCTTCCATGCCTTTGATCAAACTCAATACCTCCGCCACCGTTCTTGCCTCCATCAAGCAAGAACCACTTACATCGCCGTCGTTCCCACCACACCCGGTGCCAATTCCACAGCCGTTAGCGGTTGTCAAAACTGAACCTGAACAGCCCGAACAACAGCAACCACCGCCACCGCCACCGACACAACCACAGCAACAGCAACCACAAAAAGAAGAACAACAACAACGACGAGAACCCCAATTCTTAAAATCCATCACCGACCTCTTATCCCTCTCCTCCGCCATCAACGCTTTTAAATGCAGATTCGACGAATTAACGAAACACCTCGATTTCATCAACCAAGCCATCGATTCCAAATTCAATGAACCGCAACAAGAACAACAACGACCACAAATTGAAACCGATACCCCTTCCAAATCAACGGAAAATGATAGTAAAACGGAAAAAAAAGGACCCGAGACGGCTTCTCTTCCGAAAGCCTCGCGTTCCGAAATTCAATGCCTCTGCGAGATGATGTGCAGCAAAGGACTCCGTAAATACATTGTAACCCATTTATCAGACGTCTCGAATCTACGAGAACAAGTCCCTGCGGCTCTAGAGCTTGCCCCAAAACCCGACAAATTGGTTTTAGATTGCATTGGGAGGTTCTTTCTACAAGGAATAAAGGCTTATACGAAGGACTCGCCCATGATTCCGGCAAGGCAAGCTTCGGTTTTGGTGTTGGAGTTTTTCCTTTTGATGATGAGAGATTTTCGCGGTAAGGGTCAGTTTAAAATTGCGGCGGACCTTAAGGTAGAAGCGGAGAAAGGAGCTGCTGCATGGCGAAAGAGGTTGATTAGTGAGGGTGGTTTGGCTAAGGCCTGTGAAGTTGATGCTAGGGGTTTGTTGCTTTTTGTTGCTTGTTTTGGGATTCCAAAAGTGTTCCGGAGTGAGGATTTGGGGAATTTGTTGCGTTTGTGTAATCTCAGGGCTATTTCGGATGCGTTAAAGGGCTCTCCTGTGCTTCCTGATAAAATGCCTGGTAATTGCATTTTGGGTTCCTTAACTTGTATAAATTGCATATAAATTTGTGATTTTGTTTGATGACACCAATGTCACTGTGAGTATGGAGTATCATAGGTAATTGCCTTTTGGTTTCCTTAACTTGTATGAATTGCTTAAAAAGTTGTGATTTTGTTTGATGTTACCAATGTCATTATGAGTATGGAGTATCATTATTCTGATATAGTAGTTAAAAAAGGTGTTTTGATGCCTGCCATTCAATTTTCAAGTACGAAGGCCTAGACCTGTTCGAGGAATTTGAAATTTGTCATAGTTTTCATGTTTCCTCTTAATTGCTTATCCTAGTTCCAAATTTTAACCATCCAATTCATGATAATTAACTTTTTTTTTTTTATGGTTAACATTTTTGTTCAGTTTACGGGTAAGATTATAATCCTACAGACTAATAATGGAGTGGAGTTTAAAAACTCCACAAATGAATTTATGTGATATCATTTTAACTATAAACAAGGAAATTACTATTGATTGTTTACTTATCATGTATCCTAATGATTCAGCCACTAGCTGAAAAAGTGGGACGCCTTAAAGAGGGTGGTTTATTCTGTCTTTCTGGTAACAAGAACAGTGGGAAAATGAAGCATGGCTTTTCTTGATATGCTTTAGAATCTGTTTTGGGCTGTTAGCCAGCTTTGAGTTACTAAAGGATTTTGTTATATTCCTGCCTGGGGATAAGTAAATTACTCAAGCATTGAGATTGTCTTTGATCTTCACATAGCTAGAAGATCAATTGCTGAACCCAGTGTAGGAAGAGGAAATATAGGTAAATATTTTCTCCATAAATTATGTGCAATGGCTTCATGGCAAACTGTCATCTATTTTAATGTATAGGGAATTTTAAATGTTTGGAGGGAGTTAACTGCTATTCCAGGGTTCTCGCTTAATAGTTGATGCTAGAAGTTACATTCATAAATATTGAGATCAAAAGGAAGAGGATGGAAGAAATGGTGGATTTTACCAAGAAATGTGGTCTAGAGAAAGAGGCTTTCAAAGTGCATGTAGATTTGGTTCTGTAGACGTCTATGTACTCATGAATTCTCTGTAGTTATAGGGAAAGACTTTCTTATTTGAATGTCCTTGATTTTATAAGAGTTTCATGATGTTGAAGAGGAGGGCGGTTGTGTGCGTAATTGCTGTTTCTTGTAGGAAAAAAAAAAAAAGTCTGAAAGACTATAATCAACCTTTTGAAAAAGTTGTTCACTGCCTCACTTTGGAAGTACCCATTCTGATTTAGTATTGTTATTATTACTTTTTTCATTGGGGTGGATGGGTGGTTACATTTAGATTTTTGATCGGTCATTGCTGTAATTCTTGAGTCTTATGTATGATGCTTTTTTCTGCTCCAGCTATCATAGAGGCTATGGTGAAGAATGGAATGCATGTTGAAGCTGTTGATGTTGCTTCTATCTTTGGGCTTGAGGATAAATTCTCCCCTAAGTCAATTTTGACCTTGTTCTTGCAAGAGTCTACAAAAGCATTCAAGATGGCGAAACAGGAAGCACAAAATTCCTCCGTGGCACTGGTATGTTCCTTTTTAATCTGCTGTCATACTATGATCTTATATACTCTTATTGTTCTTTAATATTGCATTTATCTTATCATGGCTTTTTGCAGATAAAGGCTAATGAAAAGCAATTAGATGCTCTGAAATCCATAGTCCACTATTTGGAAGATGGCAATAATGATGTAACAAAGCTTCTTGCTGCATGGCAAATTGAAGAGAAGATAGTCAAGTTGGAAGAAGAAATTGCTGAGCTAAATAAAAGAATTGAGGACAAGAAAATAATACCAAAGAGAAAACTTGATGAAATGGGATCCTCAAGTAGGGTTAAGAGTCAAGAAATGAAGCGTTCACGATTTGCCGCCAAAGGGTCACCCTTGCTGAAATCTTCTCATATCAATGGGTTGCATGAGCAACGGACTGCTACTTTTGCTGAAGGCGTGAGGTCATATGATTCTTTGGTTTCAAACTCTTATTACACTGCTATTTCTGGTAATGTCACCAATCATCCCTCGGCTGTACCACAAGGATCAACTATAGGTTCTTTACCTGAAAATGGAGTTGGCCAGAAGGTAGGAATAACTGGTGTTGGAAGCAGTGGTATGGTGGCAAGCATCGGTGTCATGTCAGCAAGTTCTTATTCTGGGGCTCATGGGGTGATTAATCCGCAAATGATTAGTAGCAGTGGTCTGTCTAATGGATGGCAACAAGGCTCTGTTGGGCAATCTGCATCCATGAGGTTTGGTGGTTTCTTTGGGTCTTCACCATCTGTAGAAGGCTTTGTTGGTGTGCCTGATGCTACTGATAGGTCACCAGCTGATCTATATCGGTTTGCTGATTCTATAGGGGGAAATGAGTTTTATAGCAGTTCTTACAGGACTGGCACTTTGCCAACTGATGCGCCTGTCAGTCATTCATCCTATATGTATTAATGAAATTAATAGTATCTAGCTGTGTCCTTCATTTTACTTCATAGATAGTTTCTGATAGGGAGAAGTTGAAAGCCTTCTATGTTTTTCTTTTGAACCAGGAGGGTACTCCATGGCATCTGCAAAACATTCAAGTGTTTCTTCAGTTTTTACCTGTTTATGTGATCCCTATGAAAGGCAATTTGCTTCAGTTTAAAAGCTATTCTCCGAAGTTAACTGCCCTTTTCCTAAGCCCACAAATGATCTATTTGGTGTCTTCATTTTCAAGGGGCATGTTCTTGAATATGAGGTTATATACAGAAATATCATGCCCTGCAGTTAAGGCCAGTTATTGCATGTCTACGTACTTTAAAAATTTGTAAAGAAATTAATCTCTAATTGTATAATTTGTATTTGATACATATGGATAAGCATTATAAACAAGCCAATCCTTTTCGGATTAGGCGTATGCTTCCGTCAAACCCATTCGACATAGTCCATGAACACCTCTGCAACTGCTAGTTCCGAGACTGGTAATCCAACCCAAAACATGAGCCCAGAACCCAAAACAGGGACCCTCCTCTATAGAGTTTTCAACGATGTGGGCTACTAATCCAACCCATTTTTTTTTTCCAATTAGCCTATACAATAGGACTTCACCCGATTCTTTGAAGGATAACAACGGTTGGTTCTTTGGCGGGAGAGACCTAGAGAGATCAAAGCCTCCCCTTTAGTTTGTTGTAATTCCATTTTGCTTCTGAACAAAGAAAGCAAAGACTCCAGCGTGTTTTGAAACCTCAAAATGAATCAAAATGCTATGTGGAGACTCCTTGAATCGGATTGGTACTCTCCAAGACGACTCCATGACAGTCCCACTCAATACGATTTTCCAGTACGAATGATCTTTCCCTTTTAGTATTTTTTTTTTTCTGTTCTTCTATCAAGAAACGCTCACTTTTGTATTGTTCTTTACTGTTTTTTCCTTGAATGTTTTCTAAGTATTAGTTAATCACTACGTTATTGAATTTTGTTTATTCATCTTCATCCTTTTGGTTGGATGCAAAGGGGGATCGCCTTTTACCCAACAGAAGCTTGATGGATCTTGATGAAGCCCACAGCATGTTGACCAACAGGACCAGAGATTTCAACCCTTTAAAATGCAATGTACATTTCACCATTTGTTCCTCTCTAGTTAGTAGTTTCTTGAATTCTGAATTCTATGGAAAATTTTCATGTTTTCTGGCCTATGAATAATATACCTATCTATATTCTTGTGTTTCTCCTGGTTTTGGCATCCGGGTCTTGTTATTTGAATATATTGATTTGAATATGGTGAAAATCTTGAGATGAGAACTGAAGGTTTCTAAGTTCTCTTCATTGCTTGGCAGCAAGCTTATCGACAGAAACTGTTTGAGAATCTGTCTTTAGATTCTGAAGGGAAACCATTTAGGATTATCGTTTTCAGAGGAAGCCCAAAGTCAAGTAGAAAGTCCATTCGTTTTGTTGATGAGATAAGACACGAAACAGCAGCGATATTTGATAACCACAGCAAACAGCCTCAATATAGGAGCATCCCCAAGGTACTCAATGCCAGTTTTGTCCTCCCTGTTTTGAGTTAAAGGCTGCTTAGATTCTCCATAAAATGACAGGTTTTATACTGTTCATTGTTGGACAATGTGAATTGTGATTGTGGGTGCAGGGAGAAAAGAGGGTTTTGGATGCACCAGGGCTTAGAAATGACTACTATGTGAATATCATGAGTTGGGGTAAAAACAACATTCTTGCTGTTGCTTTGGGTCCGGAATTGTACTTATGGAACTCAGAGGATCAAAGTGTACACAAGTTGCTACAAGTTCGTGGTGCGAACGATTTGCCTACGAGTGTGACCTGGTCCAAGGATGCCAGAACTCTAGCTGTTGGATATATGTGCTCCAAACTTGAGCTCTGGGATGCTGAGTATTCCAAACTTGTATGCCTCTTTGAGATCAGCTTATTTTTTCAAGGCTCTTAGAAGGGTTCTTGGATGCATTAATTAATTGTCTGTTAACATACAGATTAGAAACCTTCAAGGTCATAGTGGAAGGATAGCATCCACTGCATGGAATGGCCACATTTTAACATCAGGAAGCCGCGACAAATCCATTATCAATCATGATGGTATTCGTATCATGCTCTAATCATTGAGCAGTAATTGAGTTTGATATTTTTGCATTTTTTAGGAAATCTCTCATGTATAAATCCCATTTGCAGTTAGAGCAGGAAACAATTTGGCTTCCTGCATAAAAAAGCACACTGATGAAGTGTGCGGTTTGAAATGGTCAATTGAAGGCAATAGATTGGCAAGTGGAGGCAATGAAAATCTGTTATACATATGGGAAGCTTCCAAAATGAATTCATCCAAATTTCTACATCGACTCAGTGATCATTGTGCTGCAGTCAAGGCCCTTGCTTGGTGCCCCTATCAGCACAATGTTCTTGCCTCTGGAGGAGGCTTGAGTGATGGATGTATTAAGATATGGAATACACAAAAAGGAATCTGCATTAACAGCATTGAAACCAAAGCACAGGTAAATCTTTAAGTATTTTATTTCACATATCGCATAAATTTCTCATCATTCCATTTTCCAATTATATATCTACCAATGATTTGGTTTCTTTGGTTTATCTATTGCTATTAGTAATTTGATCTAAATAAGCAGATTAGTGGGCTGGAGTGGAACAGACATCATAAGGAGATATTGAGTGGCCATGGCTACAGCACAACAGAGAATCAAAACAAACTATGCCTGTGGAGGTACCCTTCCATGACCAAGGTGGCGGAGTTGGGGAATCACAGATCCAGAATCATCAACCTATGCCAGGTTTAATTATTCAAACTTTAAGTTCAGAACCCAGTATAGCATTCACAAAATATATGAAAATCTGAAGTTTCCTGTATTTGTGTGTTGTAGAGCCCTGATGGAGTAACAGTAACATCAGCTGGGGCAGATGAGACTCTTCGCTTTTGGGATGTTTTCGGACCCCCTACGACTGGAAATCTAATGGTTTCAGATCTTCAAGGTCTTTTCTCCTTGAGGACGTCTCTAATAAGATAATAGCATGTGGAGCAATCGTTCACAACATGCTAGTATCCTTCAATGTAACTAATTATTCGGTTATTGTATAGACAATCAGAGCATGCTTAGCATTTTTTGTCCTCTCAGACTCACTGGAACGATATGCTGTAACTTTTACAGCTCTTCCCAAGGAATATGAAAAGAACAAAAGGATCTCTCTTTGCCGGCAAACTAACCTCTAACTCACTTTTGAAGATACAATGAAGATATAATCACATGATGTTCTAATACCGTCATAGTATGTTAATCTGAATTCATTCAGCCTCTGAATCATCAGTGTTGCTATCTACATACATCTCTACATCTTCATCATCCTCCTCTTCTTCCTCTTTTTTCCTCCTCTCTTCCTCCATTTCTCTCTCTGCAACTTGAGCCTTTGCTTTTTCAAGTCTAGCACTAACTGCTTCCCAAGATACAAGTTTCTCCATGAAAATTGATATGTAATCTGGACGTCGATTCTGCCAGAAGAATAAATTTGCAAAGTTCTTAGACTCAATTGACACCATTCCATTAGAAACAGCAAATAACCTCTTCATCATACAATTCAAAGCAAATTACAAGTCATGAACCTTTACCTGAAAATCAAGGTAATAAGCATGCTGTTGACACAGAGCATATTCCACAAATGGAATTAGTATTGTTTAACAAGAATAATTCTTAAAACAAATAATTTTGGAATAATTCAAGTATCAAATCAGCGGAAAAAAAAAAAGTTAAAACATGGATTACCTCCCAGACATCAATAGTGAGGAGTGGCTGCGGAAAATCAACAGATGATAAAGTATTAGATGCTTAGAACTAACAAATATTATGGATGCACAGATTGCTTTATACTTCAGCAAAAATTACATTGTAAATCTACATTTGTAACATGAATTATGATGTGTGCAGCAAGGAATATACTCACAAAGTAGTCCCAAATAAGTGGATTCACAGCATTTGGACTTTTCACAACTACAAGCTTTTTGTCCTTCTCTGATGGCCAAGGGTTTACTGCATTGTCCACATTAAGCCTATTTGCTTTGTCTGGATAAAACAAATAAGACATTACTGTCCAAATTTTGCTAAGAACTTGAGAATATTAACAGGAAATAAGTAAAGATGACATGCTAAGTATTCACCGACATGCAAGCCAAGCCCAGCCAGAACCAAACTGCGTAGCTGCAGCAGACTTGAACTCTTCAATAAATCGTTCAAAAGAACCAAAATCTCTCTCAATCAGATCTAGAAGATCTCCAGATGGTTTTCCTCCACCACCTGGTTTCATTGATTCCCAGAAGAACTCATGGTTCCAAGCCTGCAAACAGATCAAAGGAGTCAACCATATTTGTCTCATAATTGAACATAAAAGGCAACATTTTTTTTCTCGGGGGAGGGGAGAGATCAATAGTTAACAATTAGACATGTATATTATAACAATAAATGCTATTAATTATTAAATTTACTAACATGTATGGTATCATACCTGTGCAGCATTGTTGAATGCAGGGAGTATATCGCCCTTGTTATATGAAACAATAATTATCTCTTCCAAGGATAATCCTTCTAGCTCTGTTCCTACAATTTGCTTGTTTAGGTTGTCCACATAAGCTCTATGGTGCTTTCCCCAATGATATGTAAATGTTTCCTGACTCATATGTGGTTCCAATGCATTCTGGATATATATGAACAAAGAACCAAATTTTAGCACAGAATTCCAACTTTTTAATTCTTTTCATTAGTTTTTCTTCGTTATCCTTGCACAAGAACAATAACAAATGGGTCTCTTTTGCTTTCCTAGGTCCAATTAATTCCGCTGAAATCACACTAAAAGATGGCCATGGCCTGTTCCAATTAAAAGGATACTTGCATAACACAAACTTCTTACCATAGGATATGGAGGAGGCTTGAGCTCGAACTTGGCAGTAACCCAATTAGAACCAGCCTTCCTCGAAAACCATCTCTGCAACAAACAAATCGCGTCTTTGACAAATAAAATTAAGAGAAAAAATTACTAGTAGTTCAAATTTGCATCGACTTTCAAAACTACAAAAACTTTTTAACAAAAAGAAAACATTTCATCGAACATAATGCCTACAATCCACTCTGCAAAATCCCATTTTCATAGAGCCAGATTTCTGAATAGATGAGAGAAAGTAAAGTGAAATGCCGAAGCAAAACCTGGGGTTTTGTGGATGGCAAGCTACGAGTGGATCCGCGAAGCCCTGGTTTTGCAAGCACCAAAATGAACACTAAAATTAAGAGAAAGAAGTGAAATATTGATAGGAAAAGAGCGGCCAAAAATGGGAAAGTACGAGTAACCTTGGGGCGGAAGTAATGCAAGCGTTAGTGAAGTAGCAGTCATGGAAGCAGCTGCTGCCATTGTTGGAGTGCGTTTTGTCAGATTTTCCCTTGAAATCTCGGACAAGGCAAGCAATGAAGCGAGCAACGTTCTAACGTCATTTCGAGCTAATGCAAGATAAGAGAAAGTGCCACATCAGCGATGTAGCCAATAAATTGTCGCCACGTCAAAAGGATATTTCATTCTCGTGGATAAATATTCTAAAACTAACGACACTATGTAGTGAGCTAGTACGATGGTGTCGACACTGTCGACTGTCTGGTTTCCCACATGCTTGTACGTTCTATGCTTTGAGAAGTAGTACATATGGACTATGATGTACTAAATGTACTATCCAACGTTCCACTTAATTTTAGTGCTAATGATTATGATTATGTTTCAGCGTTATGCTGGATTATTATTTACTTAATTAATAAATTAAGTTATAAAGTAAGAAATATTTATAATTTATAATTTTTATTTTTATTTTTTTCATCATTTTTATCAAGTAAAGTTTTAATATATAGTTGTTAGAGTAGAAAGTTAGAAAAAAGAATATGGAAAAATAAAAAAAAATTGACGGAAAATAAATTTTTTAAGTGTTTGATAAGAGAAAAATTAAGAAAAAAAAGTGGGATATTTAAAAAGATATTTATCATTTTTTTATTTACTCTTTTTAACTTATAAGAGTATAATGATAAAATAATATAAATTTCATTTTGTTTTATATTCAAAATTTTCAACCAATAAATAAAAACAAAATTTACATTTTTCTATTTTTATCAAAAAAATATTTTTAAATCCTTTGACTTTTCTTTCCTTTTAATTTTTAATTTTTTTTTTTTTTTCACTATTCTTTTTGTTATGCAACATATAAGCATGACAAAAAAAAAATGTTAAACAAATTTATCGTACCAAAGGCAGTCAAGACTTCAGCGTTGCCGATTCATGTTTGATCTCTAACATTATAGATTCCATGATATGGTATCACTCTTTTCACAGCACTGAATTGCGGGCCTGTCTCCTTTCGGACCAAATATCAGTTCTCCCTTGTTTCATAGCAAAAGCCATAAAAATCGTAAAATTGATGTATTTATGTCATATAAAATATTAAAATTAATATATTTATATTATATTTTATATAAAAATTATATATAATAATTTATGTTAATATAAAAATATAAAATTTATTTTTTATTTTATTAAATTTATATATAATTATTATTAAATTTTAAATTTGATCACTTCTATATCTTTTATTCTAACCGTATTTAGATTCAAGTAATTCATACAATCTCCCCTTCAATATTAGACAGCTCAAACCAGGCCATGGGTTCAGGCAAAAGATAACGTTGAAGGATTAAAAAATGATCCTTTACTGATTGGCCATAAAATCAACAAATGATCCAATACGCAAGACTAAAGATCGGTAAAAAAAGTATATGATTAAAATGTTAAATCTTTCATCAACTGCATTGCAGTATCATGAGTGATTCTACTGATTGAGTTGCAACGATGACTTTAGATATGCTTCAGTGTTTCCTGAACAAGGAGAAACAGCGCTTCGATTATGCCCAAATTATTTTGCAGGGACCAAGATCTGTTGTTTTTATTTCATCTATCTTGGCAGCCACAACGAAATCATTCATGCTCAAGCCTTCAGCAAATTGAATTAAACACTCCACTAGATCTTAGGATAGCCGATTATCTTGCATATAGAATAAATAATAAGATACTTTTCGATTATAGCTGTCAACTGTTATGTTTAATTTCATCTTCACTGTTATATTTGCATTTAAACATAAAATATTTTCTCCTATTTATCTTTTATCGCAATTATTGTTTTCAATTTCATCAGAATTTATTATATTTATCAATCGAAATGGATCTTAAATTGCTGGAAGAAGTGAAATGCATATATGGATATGAAATCTTCAATGAAATGGGAGAGTGGTTAAGAAAGAGGAAAATTTCATTGTACGTATGGTTGGAGTTGGGACAGAACAGGATCAAAGACATATTCATTTCTCATTTTACAATTTAAACCCAAATAATCAATTCTCCTTTCATTTTTACTAATTAGGAGCAAGAAATAAAATAAATCATTAATTATAAGGGCAAAAGGAAAAGGAATATTAAAAAATTGTACACCTTTAAAAAATTTAAAATTCATTTGACAGCATAAGAAGATCATTTTTATTAGACTTTCTTTCATTATATCGTAATTTGTTTTATGATTGAATTTTTAAAAATTCAGCCATAGAATGATATCACAATACAAACTCCCATTGGTTGCCAAATGAATCTTTGTCTCCAGCAATAGACTAGATTGTGGACTAATGGGCCATTTTTTTCCCATCAAATGGTTCACTGGCTGTTAACCATGGTTCCTGCAACAACTTGCAATTGATTAATGGCGATGCTCATTGAAGTGGTTGGATCAAAGAAAAGATATTAGTACTTATGTACCTGTCCTGAACCACTGGTCAGACTCTCTCCTTTTGTGAGCGTTGCTAGAAAAGATAATACAGCACAACAACCTTCATCATCATCGTCTTGTGGTGGTAGGTTGAGAGATGTTGCGCCTAAAGCAATAATCACAATAATATAGAAGCAATAGATAACAATCAATAATCAAATGCGTAGGAAAAATAAAACACACCAAGGTTTACGTGGAAAACCCTCCAGTGTAGAGGGAAAAACCACGGGCCACCAAAAAAATCTTCACTATCAAATAATAGTTATACAAAGTTCTTTTCTAGTTAAAACTAGAGCTAATCAACAACTAGAGAAACAATTGGAGAAATCTCACCAAATAAGTGACTCAACAAATACACCCTGAATTTGTTCCTAGAGAGCTTTAAACCCGATCTTCACCGTTCAGAATGTATAACTCTGAATCATAAACCTCCTGACAAGGTTCCAACTCAATCGGACCACGGATCGACTTCCGTTTAACCAACTCTCCCTTCTCCTTTTTCTCTCTCTGCTTTTCCTGGCTTTTCTTCTTTCTCTGCTTGGTTGTCGACACACACCTTAAACAACCCCACCTCTTTTTTATTAAGTAGCTAGGGCTCTGTGTAAAATAAAAGATTAAGGCCCATGGCCTTTACTTGGTCCAAAACCACTTACATGGGACTGGACCCCATTTTCCTAACAATCTCCCCCTCCAGTCCCATTAGAAGGAGATTCATCACCATAGCAATTTCATTTGGAACTTACCTTGGCCAGGGAACTCATTCCGGCCAAGTTACTGCAAAGCTCAAGCTTTTCCCTGAGAAGTATCTTAGTCAACATATCTGCCACATTTTTATCAGTATGGACTTTCTTCAATAGCATCTGCTGTTCTTCAATCACTGAACGTAACCAATGATATCTAACATCAATGTGCTTTGTTCTAGCATGGTACATGGTATTCTTACTCAAATCTAAAGCACTCTGGCTATCACAAAATACCACATACTCTTTCTGATTCAACACCAATTCAAAAAGAAAACGTTTCATCCAAAGCATTTCTTTACATGCTTCAGTTGCTGCAATATACTCAGCTTCTGTAGTTGACAAAGCAACACACTTCTGCAACTTAGACTGCCAAGATACAGCTCCTCCTGCAAAAGTGAACAAATACCCTGAAGTAGATTTCCTACCATCAAGATCGCCTGCCATGTCAGCATCAGTAAACCCTTCTAGAATTGGTTGTGAAACTCCATAAGTCAAGCACATTTTTGAGGTACCCCTCAAATATCTAAAAATCTATTTTACTGCTTCCTAGTGAACCTTCCCTGGATTAGAAAGAAATCTGCTCACTACATCAACTGCATGAGCAATGTCAGGCCTTGTACAAACCATAAGATACATTAAAGAACCGACTGCAGAAGAATAAGGAATACTAGACATAGCTAGTTGCTCTTCCTTAGACACTGGACAAGATTTCTTACTTAGATGAAAATGGTTGGCAAGTGAACTGCTAACTGATTTAGCATGTTGCATGTTGAATCTACCAAGCACTCGTTCAACATACTTTTCCTGTGACAACCACAGCTTTCCAGCTCTCCTATCTCGGATAATGTCCATACCAAGAATCTGCTTTGCTGGACCTAACCTTCATATCAAAGGACTTAGACAATTGTTCTTTCAACCTGCAAACCATACTAGCATCTTGTCCTACAATCAACATATCATCAACATATAATAATAGGATAATGAAGTTACCATTAGGAAATTGTTTAATATACACACAAGAATCTGCTGCTGTTCTTTTATAGCTATGACTCACCATAAAAGAATCAAACTTCTTGTACCACTGTCGCGGAGCTTGTTTCAAGCCATACAAGCTTTTCTTCAATTTGCAAACTAAGTGCTCTTTCCCTTTCACTTCAAAACCCTCAGGCTGATTCATATAAATGTCCTCCTGCAAATCACCATGCAAAAATGCAGTTTTAACATCAAGTTGCTCAAGCTCAAGATTCAAACTAGCTGCCAATCCCAGTACCACTCGAATAGAACTCATTTTTACAACTGGAGCAAAAATCTCATCAAAATCGATGCCTGGTTTTTGAGAAAAATCTTTTACTACCAATCGAGCTTTGTACCTCACTAGTTTGTCACCATTCTTTTTCAACTTGAACACCCATTTATTCTTTAATAGCCTCTTTCCTGTTGGAAGTTTAACAAGATCATAAGTACCATTCTTTCGTAATGACTCCATCTCTTCTTTCATTGCTTTTAACCAGTGCTCTCTATCCGGAGTAGCATGCACATCTTGAAAGCTTTCTGGCTCCCCTTCACTGGTAACTAAAATAAAATCTGAACTTGGATACCTGGTAGATGGCCTGCGCTCTCTAGTAGATCTCTTGAGCTGAGACTCTACATCACTTGATGCTGAAGGTAGCTCCCCCTGCTCAACACTCTCAGGTAGAGAGGATTGCTCCATCTGTTCAAAACTAATAGCATATGGCTCATCACCAACTGTAGCTGGCTCATCTATATCCCCAAGTTCTGTTTCTGGCTCATTTTCACCATCTGTGGCTCTTTCCTGTGAAATCCCTGTCGGTGTTGAAACATCACACTCAACAGTAACTCGTGTAGTCTTCTCATTTTTCTCAAGGTCTGCTATGGTTTCTTTTTCATGAAAGACCACATCTCTGCTTCTGACTGTCTTTCTCTTTACTGGATCCCATACCCTGTAGCCAAATTCCTCATCACCATATTCTACAAACACACACTGTGTAGCTTTACTATCAAGCTTTGACCTCTGCTCTTTTGGTACATGCATGAATGCTTTACACCCAAAAACTTTCAAGTGAGAGTATGAAGCATCTTTCCCTGTCCACACTCTTTCTGGAATGTCAAAGCCCAAAGGAACTGATGGTGACCTGTTAAGTAAATAACAAGCTGTGTTGACTGCTTCACCCCAGAATGGCTTTGGTAATTTTGCCATCCTCAACATACATCTGACTTTTTCCACAATGGTGCGATTCATTCTTTCAGCTATACCATTATGCTGCGGTGTTCCAGGTTCTGTCCTCTCATGCCTGATCCCATGCTTTGAGCAATACTCTTCAAAGCTTTTAGATGTGTATTCCCCACCATTATCAGTTCGAATACACTTCAAGGGTAACCCTGTCATCCTTTCAACCATGGCATGAAATTTTTGAAAATACTGTAGTACCTGACTTTTATATTTCAACATATACACCCAAGTCTTACGTGAAGCATCATCAATAAAAGTAACAAAATATCTGCTACCACCTAATGACTCAACCTCAATGGGACCACATACGTCAGAATAAATTAATTCCAATCTATTTTCTTTTCTCTGAGAACTTTTACGAAAAGAAACTCTATGATGCTTACCAAACAAACAATAATCACATGAATCGAGAGACATACCTTTGGTCAAGGGAATGAGAGAGTGCCTTGCCAAAACCTGTAACCCTTTTTCCACTCATGTGTGCAGCCTCCTGTGCCACAAGTTTGCTGAGCATCATTTTCAAACGGTATTTACCTGGTTACCGTTCAATTGCATCCATGTCTTATACATTGTGCAGCATAGTTTTCCCCTTGCAACTACCATAGATCTTTGAGAAGCTTCCACTATCCATTCTTTTGTCGGCTTTCATATCCCTCCTTATCAGGATATTAATAGCAAAGCAAGTTCATTCTCATATCTGGAATGTGTCTGACATCCCTCAAAGTCAACATGCAACCTGTACTAGTTTGTACAACAATATCACCAATCCCAACAATCTGCGACACACTCTTGTTTCCTATCTTGGTACAACCAAAGTCTCCTGCTTTGTAAGTTGTAAACAACTCTCTCTTAGGAACACAATGATATGCCGCTCCTGTGTCAACTATCCACTCAATGCCGGGATCACTAACATGATTACAATCACCATGTGTACAAATTAAAGTAACTGAATCACTATCTGAATTCACTGCTGCAACATTGCCATCATCTGAACTCTTGTTTTTCTCATCTTTTCGCTCTTGCTTCAAGATTCTACAATTTCGTTTTATATGACCTGCTTTACCACAATGGAAACATTTCACTTTACCTCTAGAATTGGATCTATGTTTAGACTTACACGTTGCAATCTTTTTAACAAGCATAACTTTATTCATACCTGTTTTTCTCTCATACAATGCTGCCAATTTTTCCCAAACAATGTGAGCATCTGATTCCTGCGCTACATGATGGAACACGCTGATATCAACCCATTTTCTGATTGTAGCCAGCGTCTTTCTACCTAGCTTCTTCCAGCTTTCATCTTTCATATCTGCTGGTTTAGCCGAATCACCCAATACTGGCTCATACAAATCTTTGCAGTATAGATGATCCTCCATCATAGGGTTCCAAATTGAATAATTCGATGCTGTCAATTTTATCATGGAACCTGTATCACCCTCCATGATCTCAAACAGAATTTACTTCTATTCTGGGATGCTTCTGTATCGATGTCTCAAAATAACCCTCGCTCTGATACCACTTGTTGCGCCTGAAGCAATAATCACAACAATATAGAAGCAATAGACAACAATCAATAATCAAATGCGCAGGAAAAATAAAGCACACCAAAATTTACGTGGAAAACCCTCCAGTGTAGAGGGAAAAACCACGGGCCACCAAAAAAATCTTCACTATCAAATAATAGTTATACAAAGTTTTTCTCTAGTTAAAACTAGAGCTAATCAACAACTAGAGAAACAATTGGAGAAATCTCACCAAATAAGTGACTCAACAAATACACCCTGGATTTGTTCCTAGAGAGCTTCAAACCCGATCTTCACCGTTCAGAATGTATAATTCTGAATCATAAACCTTCTGACAAGGTTCCAACTCAATCGGACCACGGATCGACTTCCGTTTAACCAACTCTCCCTTCTCCTTTTTCTCTCTCTACTTTTCATGGCTTTTCTTCTTTCTCTGCTTGGTTGTCGACACACACCTTAAACAACCCCACCTCTTTTTTATTAAGTAGCTAGGGCTCTGTGTAAAATAAAAGATCAAGGCCCATAGCCTTTACTTGGTCCAAAACCACTTATATGGGACTGGACCCCATTTTCCTAACAGAGAGAGACCATAGCCCGCATTGCATTTAGCAGGTTCCAATAACTTGTTCCATGTCCATGTAAAATGGCTTGGATGAAACAAGCTGTCAGTAAACTGGTTGAAGCAATATTCCTCGACTGTTGGTCGGTGATCATCAACTTTTTCAGCAGTCAGCTTCAAGAATATTATAGGTAGTGATAAAAATCCATGAGACGATGAATAGTATTTTACAGAAATCAAAAGATTTACCGAGATTTGAATAGAGTTTTGGTCGTCATCACAGCCACTAAAGCAAATGACCTCTCCACCACTTGTCCCTTTCCACATACCGGATCGAGGGCAATGATCCTCCCAGACGTATCCCCCTTGACTACATCCCATTATTAAAGCAGTGAATTTGGAATCAAATTTCATATTATCCAAGAGAATTAATTAAAGATTGACCAGTAATTAACCTCTCATAATTCATTCTACATAGGAAAGGTAAATCTAAGGCAGTACCACTATGGCAAGCATCTATGATTGCATGAAGCTTAACCCCATTTGGCAGTGGCCTGACGATTGTCCAATTGATTTCGTCATCGACTATCGGTCCTTCAGTTTCGAAGTCTGAGGGACAAAGTGTTTCGTCAAAGCCATCCTTCTCATCTCCGCTGTCGTTCCTCTGCTGTGAGCCATGACCAGAATAATAGAACACCAGGGAATCTCCCGATTCACAACCTAATACCAGCCAATACAATGCCATTCTCATGTTGTACTTGGTTGGCCGCCTGTTAGGATTACTTTCTTCTTCTGCAAATTGGAATTACAAAACATTGAACAAAATTCTTAAAACAAGAAAATGAAACAGATCGATAATATGATCATGATTACCAGTGAGAAGGATGATTGAAGATTCGGGAAACTTGAACTGAATAATCAGCAAGGCCTTCATTAACTTGGCATCATGAATGCAACCATCGAGCTCGTATCCAGAATTCATATATGACACACCAAATATCACGGCTCGTTTGCTACTATGGACCTGAGGTGGCAGTCCTGGTGGAGCATGGTTATAAGGCGACGGAGCCTGCAGTGGAGACAGAAGCTCTTTTACGAAGGAAACAGCCTTGTAGAAGGTGCAGTGGATGGATGTCGCGCCCGGTGTCCGAAGCTGCAGTGTTTGTGCATGGCACTTTGAACACTTCACAATCTTTAACATGGCCAATCAAGAAAGCAAGAGAAAAAAAAACAGAGTTTCTGAATTCCAATGACAGGCATGCAATGGCAGATGAAGAATAGGGTAATAATTTGGATTAGTTGGATGCTTGAGTAATTAATATTAATAATTAGTATTTAATTATTGTGATTTAAGCTTTTGAAGAACATTTGCACGTGCTTGAAAAGAGACAATGATATCATTAATTTAGATTAATTAATAAAACAACTAAAGGCTTCAAATACAGCTGGGTAATTGGTAATTAATGTCTCATTAAACAAATCATAGGTTTGTGTTGTACTTTTCAATTTAAAACTTTTAATGTGAATTTGACAGTCATTTGACATTGTGATATGTTGAAAGGATTAACGGCTCATTTGAATTCAATTACACTAGTGTTATGGTGCGATAAAATAATTTTTTGATGCAATTGTATTTCAATTGATTGTTTGGATTATACGGTTACTTTGTGGCACTAGTGAGTTGAAAAATTTTTATTGGTGGGAAAAGTAGTAGTGAGCCACCGCAGCTCACATTGGATACTTTTGTCCTCGTTAATATTTTTTAATTCAATTTTATTCATATATATATATATAATTTTATTAAGATTAAAATAATTATGAGTGAATTTAAAAATAATATTTTATTTCTACTCATTTTATTTTTTATCTATTTATATCCTTAAATAATTAATTTTTTAATATTTTAAATGTTAAATAAAATTAAAATATGTATTAAAATAAATTTTTAATTTACTTTTTGATTAATGTCTCTAATGATTATTTTCCTTTTCATCTTATTATTACCACTACGTTTATATCTAAATACATATTTCACTATTAATTTTAATCTTATCATTATAATAATTAATCTCACTGTCACTACTATTTTTAATATCATCGAAACTAATTTTATCATCTATCCAAATGAACTTTAAATAAGATAAATTTTATTTTAAAATTAAAAAAAAGAATTTGATGTGGTAAAATATAACTAAAAAGTATAAATATGTAATTTTATAGATAAATATAAATATGTAATTTTATAGATAGTCTGATAAAATTTTAAGTCACGAAAATTCATAATCATTGTTTGAAGTCTTTTAATATCATTTCGAACCATGAAAAAAAAATTATTGAAAGTCAACAAATAATCTCTATTAATTAGGCAAACTCATTAATGACTTTAACCGAAATGGCCGGTTTGCATTTAGCATCAACCTTCAAGCAGAAACCATAAATGAATGGCAAAGCGAGGAACCATCCAAATGTCATATTTACATTCTTTTCCGTGACCAATTGCCTTACAAAATTGGTGCTCCTTCAGGTCCAAGGACTCAACCAGAAACCTAAACAAAATTAAAAAATGAGAGAGAAAAGAATCGGAAACATTGAAGTTCGTGCAGCAATCTGCACAATTATTCTCCTTGCACCAGTTGTTCTATTGCAGAATTCACCACAGATACCAGCTGATATATCCCAAATGAATGCTTGCTTTAACGCCAACATCAAGCCTGTCTTACCAAGGGCTGGCACCCTAGACTATGCCCTTCTTCATGCTGAGTATCACGGGCCGCGCATTTCTTAGATTGAAACCACGAGTTCGTGTGACACTAAGACTGTTTATAGTCAAGATCAACCTTTTGTAAGTCCAATTTTCATGGACAGCTTAATATCGATAATTTAAATCAATTATTAATGAGCTTTTTCTGATTTTGATCATGGAGGGTCGCACATTCCCAAACTCAATAAAGAAGAATCCAACTCCCTTTAACTCATCAATTCACGATTCTGAAAGTAGTCCCAAACCTCTATTTCTACTCGCAGGTATCAAAGTCCCAAGTACCACCAACTCACCTTACTCATAATGGCACATAGCCTGGATTCTCATGAAATAATATCATTTTGGCATAGTGAGAATCCAACACCATGCCCGTTCGCATCATATGTAAGCTCTTGTGTCAAGATCCTGAAGGCACAACACAGATGCCAGTCATTAGCTAGCTCGGAGCCACACTAGGCTCATCTCATCCCACAAAACTCCTATTTCAAGGCCTCAGCCCTTAGCCTTGTTCTAGGCTATCCGCACGCATAATGGACACTTAACATCATGCCTATCTCACTTCAAAGAACTCAGGTGTGCTATTCGTTCGTAGCACACCTTTATTAATTAGCCACAAGAGTTTAGCAATGTACCTACCTACTAGCCCATTTATCCCACAGGCTCGATGGTGCCCTTCCTATACAAATATTATCTCATGATCCTTTCGACTTAAGGAGAGAAAATCGAAAAGCATAACGAATGTTATCGCCTAACCCTATGGTCCAATGTAAAGGCATGATACGAGGCCTACTTGCCCTGACCATCCCCGGGCTTACCATGACCCAAAAAGACATCGTACCACACTCAGAACCTAATGATGCATGTCTACCTAAACATCACATGTGCCTAAGAATAACTTATTTCAAACTAGTCAAGCCCTCGCCTACTCGCTAGCCAAAGAGGTGGTGGAAAGCTGGCACCAATTATTCCTTATAAAGAGTGTAAGAGTTTTTTTAGCCCTTATACTAGGAACTGTAAAAATGTTTGAAATGAAGACACTTTTCTCTCTAATCATCTTAAGGCATTTCTTCACCTAACTTAAGGCCCGATGACCTTTCTCTTGGTCAACATAATTTTAGCATTCCACTCGTTGCTCCACCAACCCACTCGAAGATGCTCGCATACGGCTTCGACCGATAGCACTTGACTAGTTAATCGACTCCAGGGTGCCTACCCACTGGCTCGCACTTGTCCGTGTATCTTGGGGCCTAGAGCTCACACTACTTGCACACAATATCAACAAGTTCTTGTGCTTAAAATGCTCGTACACAATTTCGGTACCATTATCTTAACAACAAGGTCTCTTCCATTGCTCGGCTCAAAGTCAGTCATGGTAGGACTGAGGCACACCAAGGCCTGACCATGACATTCTCCCTCACTTACTATGTCGATGCTCTCATCCACGCCAAAGCCACACCTATCTCGCTTGTTGCATATAGTTGACATTTTCTCATATGTCTCTCATTTGTGCCCTTAAGGATTGGGTTAAGATCTTATCACATGAGGCACCACCCATAGTACTTGTTCATTATTGATGTAGATGGGTCTTATTCTAGCTTCAACGTAACTTTGTTCTATCTCCACATATGACTATTAGACTCAAACTGTTTTGCTTGATAAATGCCACTACACTACTTCACTTATGATCACATCATGTTGTGACCTTGAGGTACCCTTGTCGATCACGACCTTAAGTATAATGAATGACCACCCGTTTTACCATACATCAATATGTCCCACTGGATGACCCATCACACCAACCGTACGCCTACGGCACTGACTTTTCAATACACCCCTTTGGACATGGTGCTTAGGTTAACTGCACTTATGTGGCACCACCCACGATAACCCTAGCATGGTGGCATTCAAACACTTCGATCATCTCATAATTAGGTCTTTTCGACCCCTTCAAGGTCACCTTTCTAGGTGTGACCCTCTAGCCAACCACCCTCGTGGTGGCACCTTAACGCACGCTATTCGATCTCTATCTCAAACTCTAAACAAAATGCTTAATAAACTCAGGCTCCATTTCCTTAGCTCAATTCTATAGGGAAATACACTTATCCTTCACTTTTACTCAAACTCAACTTAGCTCAGCTCCTACACGTAACCATGTCTCTACGATGGTTCTATAACTTATTTGCCTTGCCTCTGGCATATCTCAAATAGGGTAATTCAAAGCCCACTCGATGCTCCAAGATTCGTCGATCCAAACAATCACTTTGTCCATTGACTTGCTTAACTCGAGGGTTCACCAACCCACTCAATTCTCAAGGTCCATTGACTACTCAAACTCAAGGCCATCCCATAGGCCAACATTTACTCAAACTATCCCATATATGGCTCAATCACCATCAGCTTACCCTTTGCCTTACTCGAATGCCAATACCATCGGCTTATTCAATTCGATCGGTCTTTTGACCAACACAACTCATAAAGCCTTGTCAACTGGCCAATCCTTGCATGCTCTTTTCATTGGACTACACATTGTTGTGGCCTGTTGACCACACAAACTCAAAGCTTCAATCATTAGCCAACTCTAACTCTTCTGCCATTGTAGAATGGCGTCATGCTTGGATCCAAATACTCAGCTCATACCCTTTTAGGGCACCTACACCATACAATAAGTGCACTCATTAGTAACTAATCTCAATTAGTTCAACTCATTTCCTTTAAAACCACACGCTTCTTAGCCCACATGGCCTTATTCAAACATCATTTCAAAGTGAGGCTTTTTTTTTGCATTTTAGTCTCAACATGATTTTTCCATCCAAAGGGCATTACATACCCACACAAATTAACACCTTTCATTAAGTGAGGGTAGACTCCTATGCCCTTTCACTTGGCATCTAAGAGTCTACTCGAAGGCCTTCCATCTAGGCTAATTTTTCTCACAGCACACATCATCGGCTCACTCCCTTGCCCTCATAGCCATAAAACCACATACCCATCTTGATAGCTCTCTTTGAACTTAGCATTGCCTCAATTTCATGTTATCATGCCAACACCTAGGGCCACGTTAATCCCACTGCTAAGCCAAACATGGCTTTAATACCAAAATGTCATAGCCACGTGTTCCTTAGACTGAAACCACATGTTCGTCTGGCACCAAGACTACTCATAGTCGAGGTAAGCCTTTCACAAGTCCATTTTCCCATGGATAGCTTGATTTTGACCCTTTAAGCCACTTACTCGTGAGCCTTTCTTAGCTCTGACCCCGTAGGGTTGCACATTCCCAAACTCAATAAGGAGGAACCCAACTCCCCTCAACTTGTCAACTTATGATTCTTAGGGTGGCTCCGAGCCCCTATCTTTGCCTACAGGCATCAAGGTCCTAAGCACTGACCCACCTTACTCATAAGGGTGCATAGCCTCAATTTTCATGATATAATCTCATTCCGGCATGGTGACAACCCAACACCATGCCCGTCCACATGGTACACAAGCTCTTATGTCAAGATCCCGAAGGCACAACATAGATGCTGGTTAGCAAACAGCCCAGAGCCACATTAGGTTCATCTCATCCCACAAAATTCCTATCTTAGGGCCTCAACGCTTAGCCTCATTCCAAGTTGCTCTCACACATGATGGACACTCAACATCATGCCTGTCTTGCCTCAGGGAACTCGGATGTGCTACCCGCCTATAGCACAGCTTTACCGATTGGCCACAAAGGTCTAGTAGCTTGCCTACATGCTAGCTCACTCATCCTTTAGGCTCAATAGTGCCCCTCCTATGCAAATACCATCTCATGATCCTTCTGGCTCAATAAGGAGAAACTAAAGGGCATAGCGAATGTACTATCTAACCTCATAATTTAACGTCAAAACGTGATACGAGGCTCATCAACCCCAACCATCCCTGGGTTTACCATGACCCAAAGAGATATCATGCCACACTCGTGATCCGATGATGCCCCGTCTACCTAAATATGTGATTGGAGAAAATAAATATGTAATTTTATAAACAACCTTATAAAATTTTAACTCGCGGAGTCTTTTGATATCACTAGGAACCATGAAAAAAATTTATTGAAAGTCAACAAATAATCTCTATTAATTAACTAGGCAAACTCATTAATGACTTTAACCGAAATGGTCGGTTTGCATTTGGCATCAACCAAACCACAAATGAATGGCAAAGCGAGGATCCCTCAAAATATCATATTTACATTCGTTTTCGTGACCAATTGCCTTATAAATAGCGGCTCCTTCAGGTTCCAAAACTCAACCAGAAACTCAAGCAACATTAAAAAATGACAAGGAAAAGAATCGGAAACATTGAAGTTTGTGCAGCAATCTGCACAATTATTCTCCTTTCCCCAGTTGTCCTCTCGCAGAATTCACCACAGATACCAGCTGATAAATCCCAAGTGAATGCTTGGTTTAACGCCAACATCAAGCCTGTCTCAGCGAGGGCTGGCACCCTAGACCCTGCCCTTGTTCATGCTGAGGCTGGACGTCAAATCATAAAGGTGAAGCAAGATGGCAGCGGAGATTTCAATACCATAACCAAAGCCATTGCGAGCATTCCATCTGGTAACACCAAACGTGTGATTATATTTATTGGACCTGGTTCTTATCGCGAGAAAATCAAAATTGAGCGAACTAAGCCATTCATTACATTTTACGGGGATCCCAAAAACATGCCAAAATTGACATTTGACGGTACAGCAAGGCAGTATGGAACCGTAGACAGCGCCACACTTATTGTTGAGTCTGATTACTTTGTGGCTGCAAATATCGTTATAGAGGTAAGCGTCAGACATCCCTCGTTGATGAGTATATGGTTAATTTTCTATCTTGCGATGAAGTTTTCTTTTTTCTAATAATATTTTTTGGCATATAGAATTCTGCTCCGAGACCAGACGGGAAAAGGTTGGGAGCACAAGCGGTTTCCCTGAGAATCTCTGGCGATAAGGCGGCTTTCTATAACTGCAAGGTCATTGGTTTCCAGGATACTTTGTGTGATGACAGGGGCAACCATTTCTTTAAGGATTGCCACATTCAAGGCACTGTTGATTTCATTTTTGGAAGCGGAAAATCTTTGTATCTGGTATCCAAATTATTCTTATACCTAGAAGATCAACACATTCGAAATTTACTTGCTAATATGAAATACGATACAATATTTTGATTGGAAAGCTTTGAATGAAAACTGGGATGCAGGACACGGAATTATACGTGGTGGGGGATACCGGACTTACGGTAATTACAGCACAAGCGAGGGAAAGTGCATCGGAGAACACTGGCTATTCCTTTGTGCATTGCAGGGTTACTGGAACAGGAAGTGGCACATATCTTGGCAGGGCCTGGAAGACCAGTCCTAAAGTTGTGTTTGCATATACTGACATGGGTAGCGTCGTCCATCCTGCTGGATGGTCTTTTAATTTTAAACCTGAGCGCGCCAAGTAATCTAAATTAATCCTGATAATTTTCAAACCCTATTTATTTTTGGTACAATAAGATAAGCTGAGAATTGTTATTTGGGCTTATTTTGCAGAACTGTTTTCTATGGAGAATTCAAGTCCACGGGAAAAGGGGCATCTCCCAGTGCGCGATCGCCATTCACCAAGCATCTAACTGCGGCAGAAGCCAAACCTTTCCTCGTTCTTGACTTCATTGATGGCACTAAATGGTTGCTTCCTCCTCCTAAGCTTTAGATCAATTGCCTGTTAATCAAGCAACATGTACGTACGTATGTACGTTCTTCATGCAGAGCCATATATATGGTGTAGTGTGTATGTGTGTGTGTGTGTATATATATATATATATATAAGGATGAAGTGCTGCTAAACAATTCGCTTTACAAAGAAGTCGATGCAGAGCTATAGAAAACTTATCCTACTTATCTTAAGAAATTTTATTGTCAAGCTTATTTAATTTTAACTTTTAAGACTCTTCGATTCATATATATATGTTTTCAAATTAAGAATAAATGTTTTCTAAAAAAAAATAAAGAATAAATGTTATACTACTAATCATGGATTCAATTGTGTAGCCTTTTCGTTATTACCTTTGACTATTAGTTTTTGTATTATCTACTATTGCATTTTTTTTTTTTGTCTCAAATAGAGGTTCAAAAAATTTTTTTATATATAAAAAAGTTAGAATTTAAATCTAAAAAAAGTTAAATATATTTTTAAAAATAATTATATGATTCAACTGATTTAAATATAAATATTGGATTTGAATCTCTTTTTTTTCAAATAAAAAAAATTCTCTATTAATTATTTTATGGTTGAAAAGGGCAGAAAAATAAAACTTGCAACGATAAAAGGAGGAAAAAAAATCTATCCAAAGCAAATGTTAAAAAGGTATTATTTAATTGAATTTAAAGAGATAAGCAAAAGATTACAAATGATATAATAACTAATTTATGATATACGATTATTGCATATTTATAAAAGTAATGTAATGTATTTAGTTGTCCAAAAGAAATATATTTTTTAACTTTAAATTATTTGAAAATGTTATTTATTTTCATATCTAAACATGCATTTTATTTTTATTTTTCCAATAAGAATTAAAATTAATATCTAAAATTTTCTTTTATTTTGAATTGTTTGAAAATATATCTCCTCATTAGGGATGTCAAATATCTTTGAATTCGTTTGGATTCTAATATGATCTGATCTTATAAATCATTTTTTTTTTAAATTGAGTTTTAAATTGAGTCATATATTGTTTTGAAAGTTAGAGTTGAATCATAGTAAGATTTTGAAGTAAACTTGTTCCCTTTACCTTGATCTGAAATATATATAAAATATATTTTTTTATTTTTTATATAATTTTATATTTATATATGTATTATATTAAAAAATTATTATTTATTATTTTAATTTAAGATATTAACTTAATAAAAATATAATATTTATATATGATTAAGATATAATTTATATTACAAAATATATTTTATAAATATTATATTAAATTAATTTTGAATTAGATTGATTGTGATTTTATATATATGAATTGAATCAGATAAGAATTAAATATATATTTTATAAAATTATATTAAAGTTGAGACGAGCATAAATTTATCTCGATTTGATTCATTGTCATCATTAATTCTGCTTAAATTTTTTACCGTGTACCTAATAAATTTATCAAATAAATAAAAAAATAAAATTATAGGCGTTGGGGCCCTTTATCGTGTACCTAATAAATTTATGGATCTCGACCTGGACTTTCAATTGGGCTAACACTCATGATAATATTTAAGAATGTAAATGATACATTAATATTTATAAATTATTTAGATTTGGTTCAAATAAAATTTGAATTACATTAGATTATTATCGAGTCGAGTTCAAATTTAAGTAGTTTAACTTATCGATCGAATTAAGTTCGAACATTTTTACACCTTATTCGAGTAGCTCGTGATTTTAATTAAATTTTTATATTTTAATATATTTTTATTATTTTAATTAATAAAATATCTCGAATTCGAATTTAAACATAAATAATCAAATTTTTTCGAATATAACAATTGAATTTATTTTATATATTAATCAAACCTAATCGAATAAGTTCAAACAATTCGATTTTTATTTCAAGTCGAATTCAAACTAAAAAATTAAAATTTAATCAAATTCAAATTAAATTTTAAATTTCAAATTTTAAATCAATATCAAACTTAAATGTAATTTTATATAAACTCAAGCTAAATCAAATATATTTTAATAATTAGCTTTTACGCGATACAGTAAAAACTCAAAGCTGCCCAAATTGTTTAGCTATAAATACAAATTTCACCGTCTTCCGCCAATCCCATCTATCAAAGGAAAAAAACATCGAAAGCACACGCCGACTTCGGCAACTCCGAATCTCACACTCACTGATCATTTCTTTTCTTCCCTCAAATCCAGAAACAAGAAAGTACCTAATTCCAAAATTCCCCCAATTTGAAAATTTTCGCAAAGAAGAGAAAGAATGGAGCAAGAGCACGACGTGTACGGACGGGAGATCCCGGACGAGGAAGGAGAGATGGATGCTGACGTCGACGTGTCTGGTGGAGCTGAAGATTACGAAGGGAACGAGCAAGAGTTTGACCAAGATCCCAATTCCAACTCCAAGGTTGCCCCTTTTTTTCTTCTTTTTCTTAGCTTCAGCTGAGCCGTTGTCTGATAAAAAAAGAGCTTTTTTTTTTTTTTGGAAATAATCTTAGGATTTGGAGGACATGAAAAAGAGACTGAAGGAGATCGAGAAAGAGGCCGGGGCTTTGCGTGAAATGCAGGCTAAAGTCGAGAAGGAGATGGGCGCTATCCAAGGTTTTTTTTTTCTTTATTTTTTGTTTCTTTGGGTTTGTATTTGATCTGAGTTTTTGGTTGTATTTTTATAATAATTTTGAATTAGATAGGGTTTACTTAATGTCTTGCTAGTTTTCAAGAAGCAATTAAACTTCTTTATATTGATTTGAATATTTATTTTTTGAATTATGGATTATTGTGTGTGTGAATTTTCTTTCAATTAAAATTATTCTTTTTTTTTTGTACTTTTTTTCCTGCATATATGTGAAGATTCCTCAAGTGCTTCTGCAAACCAAGCAGAAAAGGAGGAAGTGGATTCCCGCTCGATTTATGTTGGCAATGTGAGGTTTATCAACCCTTTCCTGTGCCTGTGTTTTTCCTTGTACACTCTTTATTTATTTATATGGCTAAATCGTCACATTTCCCTTATCTGCTCTGAATTTAATATATTGATGATAAAATTCACTTATAAATAAAGCTAAAAGTATGATTCCGCTTTTAGCTTGGTGAATTTATGTTTGTGCATATGTTGTGGCTTGAATGTGCCTTGTTACAAGCATGTGCATGGACAATCAAGTCTTAGTTTGTACAGATGTCAATTTCAATGTGATTCAAGCAAATTTGATGTGCAAGATGTTATTCAGAGGAAATATTAATGTAGTTTGTCGTAAGCTGTTTTACATTGTTTGGCTTCTTTAGGTAATTTCTAAGCTGTTAGTTGTACTTAATAAATGATATCAATGTAGTGTAACTAAATGATTTCTCTGGTGCATGTTATGTTTCTTTGTAACAACAGGTAGACTACACATGTACACCCGAGGAAGTTGAGCAGCATTTCCAATCCTGTGGAACAGTGAACAGAGTGACAATTTTGACTGACAAGTTTGGTCAACCTAAAGGATTTGCCTATGTTGAATTTGTTGAAATTGATGCTGTTCAAAATGCTCTACTGTTAAATGAATCAGAATTGCATGGTCGTCAGTTAAAGGTTTATAATTTGATTCATGTGCAGATTATTACTTCATGAATATAAGCTATGTGATAATAAAAACATGTTTGTTTTATTCACAGGTCTCTGCAAAACGAACAAATATTCCTGGAATGAAACAGTATCGAGGAATGCGATCCAACCCATATTTCCATTCCCAATGGCCTTTCACGCCCGGTCCTGCTTTCTATCCTTCATATGGCTATGGGTAAGCACGGAAATATGTTTGCTTTGTTTGGTTGTTGGATATGGGAAAAAAGGATAACTTGTTATGTTTTGGTTTCTCTGCATTTTAGTTGAGTCAGTGTTGGTTTTGCTGTAATGTCTATCTGTTTCTTTGAAATTAGATTCATTGAAGTGAAGAAGATCTCACAATCCTTAGAAATTATACCTATTATGATCTCTACTATCTTGTTTTTGCTATGCTGATGTCGTTTAAGCTTTTTGCAATCATGGCTCTAAACCACAATCCTCAGTCCTGACACGTTAGTTTGATTTGCATGGTCTCTGTTACTTCAGAATCTTTGATCTTATTTTTATCATCTGTTGATGTCAAACATACTTCTTCTTTTACCCCCATGCTTCAGAGAATTGAATATGATATTATCTGCATGGTAATCATGCTTCAGAGAATTGAATATGATATTATCTGCATAGTAATCTTATTATTGAATGTATTAACTTGGTTGACCTCATTTGCAGGAGGGTTCCAAGGTTCAGGCGGCCTATGAGATACAGGCCATATTAAGATGGATCTCACGTTGTCAGAAGCTGCAATTTTGAGAAGACCATTACTTGACAAGTTAATAGTTTATAATGGTCATATTGTTGTTCTATAACATGGAGGGAGAAAGTTGAGTTGCAATTTGCTTGCCAAAGGGCTGGCGGGATATTTCTCAAGTTGTGAGCTTGCAGGAGTGTGATGGATCCTTTCGTTTGACCTTGCCTATGCTTTGACGGTGATAAATGAAGCAGAGATGGAAATGTTGTAGTGAAATATTATTTAAAATTCCCGGTCGTAGATTGATAATTTTACTCAGTGTGGAAAAGTTATAAAATGTTGGGTTTTTATGTTTGCTAAAGTGACGACTTTCTCATAGATCATAATGCATAGAAGGTTAGTTCAAAATAGATTACTGAAACATGAGGATATTTATGGGATAAGCTTTCTGGGATTTGAAGTGATGACCAAACTGTTTAGCCAGCTGCTTGAGTTTGCCACATGGATAAGTTTCAAAGCATTAAAGCAAAACTTGTATTATCGTAGTTAGGGGTATAATCGAGTCGAATCGAGTCGATATAGTGAGAAGTTTGAGCTTTAGCTCAATTTCAACTCATGGTTCGATTCGAACTTGATCGAATTTTATTTTCTTAGTTTGAGTTTGATTCGTGATCGAAATTGAACTACTCGAATTCGTTTGATTAAGCTATATTAATATATAAAATAAGTTCAATTTTTATACTCGATAAGAGTTCGATTATTTATATTTGAATTCAAACTCGAATTCGAGATATTTTATTAGTTAAAATAATAAAAAATATTTAAATATAAAAGTTTGATTAAATTCACGAGTTATTCAAATTAGATATAAGAATATTCGAATTCAGTTCGATCGATGAATCAAATTATTCGAGTTTAAGTTCGATTCGATAATAATTTAATCGAATTTAAATTTTATTTGAATCAAATTTAAATAATTTATAAATATTATTGTATCATTTATACGCATATCGCAGTATAAAAGTGCAATGGATATATGTCTTTTGTCAATCAATTCAGCAACTGATTCTTTTTAAAGGGAAAAAAAAAAAAAAAAAAGGTAAAAAGGCTCCTGATCTTGAGTCGTAGTTGACTAGCGGATGATTTGCCCAGCTGCAGCCACTTAAATAATTCTTGGAGGACCCAATGTTTATCCCTTAGCCTCCTTCCTCTAACCCATCTTCAATGTCCTTCGAAGCATTGGTTTGGCACTTGACTTCGTAGCCCCTTTTTTCTGACCCAGTTTTATTGACTCTGGAATTTGGAGGATTGTTGTTTTGTTGTATATTGAGGGTTAGGGTTTTAGAGCCATTGAAGATTCCCCCTTGATTTAACCAAGGTGGTGATCAACTGATCAATTGCAACTACAATCCGAACCACCCCATTTATCCATTTTTTGTTTATTGGGTGAAGGGTTCAATGGCTTCCATTAAAGACAATGACTATGCTTCCAATGCTCTTTCCTAGTAAGCTTCATTCCCCTTTGCTTTCAATACCTCTTCTCTCATGACAAAATTCTGAGAGGAACATAAAAAAACACTAGCTTTTTATAAATAATAATTAAATTTTCAGGACAAAAAACGAGTACAAGGATCCGGATTGGAAGTTGTGCAATGCTTCGCCAACACTACTTACTGCCACTGTAAGTGCTCAATTCCTCAGGACCTAGGGTTTTACTGCGACTTTGTGAAATGAATTTATTTGGCCGTTTATGCTGTTAAATTTCTGATGCAGATTTCGCACAAAATCGCTATTTCAAAGATGATGCATTTATTGGATACTTGAAATGCATCTTCAATCCTGGCAATGGCCAGAGTACGTAAAATTTATCATGTCAGGTCAGCAACTTGAAAGCGTGCCATCTAATACTTTAGGCTTGAATTCCTTAAAACTAACATCTTTTTAATTTCTAGTAGAAATGATGAATAATAGCTTCCGTAGTTAGTTTATAGCCCCCTTCTTTGGACACTTGAACTGAATTAGAAGGATGATTGCAGCTATCCTCATTGCCCATTCCGCAATGCAATGGCACATCCTAGCAACAAGGTTTTGCTCTAACGTGTGGGACAAGGCTGGTTCTAGGCTTTAGTGTGCCAGGCCCAACTTGTCCATCTGTGCTTCCACTGTACCCATTTTAAGAACATTGATACTTTTTTTTTTGTTCAGCAAAATACTCAAATCATTTTTGTCATGCTTCAATTGTGAGAAAGTTTTGTTGAGCCTCCTCAAAGATCACGGTTTTTCTTGTAGTTGCCTCTGATTCCCTTGGAATAATTCTTAAATTATCTACTGGCTGTGAGGGGTTTATGAATAATTTTCGCTCTATTTAATGGATTTGTGTCACTTTCCTTCTTATCCATTGGACATAAGTGATATCCGCTATCTCTTGAAGAATATACTCTGCATTTGTTCTTTTGGATGCTTGGAGCAGAGAGTGGTGGTTCTTGTCTTGTGGTGAACGGTAACACAAGTAATAAAGGAGTTGAATCCACCTAAATGAAAATACTATGACCACTTTTGCTTCACTTCTTGAGTACACTTCACCTATCTATCTGGTTCATTATGTATTTTGATTTCAGTGGTTTCTGTGACATGGTCAAGCGAAACCTCGAATCCTGTTCTATTCTCCTGTTTTTACTGTACCAGCATTTTGGCTATTGGAGGTATTACTGCAGCAAACATGTACTAACAGAGAATCATTTTGCAGGCTCATTGCCTGAGGGCCATTAGCAGCCGGACAATTTCACATGGGGAAGGGTTGAATCATCTTATTGTTGGAGAAAACTAAACCATGAAGACGGATTTGTAATGGGGGGCACTAGACTGAAATTTTTAGTGTCGTTTGGTACTCTTAAAACACTACTACTTTCTTATTTTCTTCTCGTTTTGAAGTAATTTTCTACCTTTTCGGGAAAGGAAAAATCCAAGTCCACGCTGAAGATGATCTGGTATTGGCGTATCGTAATTGCAACCGTGCATAATCACCGCTGACAACGTGAATGTTTCTAAAAGTCTCTCAATATTATTGTCATAATCCTCGACAGAAGTTATAAATTTCATATCAATTGTATATTAAAACTAGTCTTAAAATATAAATATTAATATTATTTTTAATTTATAATATCTTTTTTATGAAATAAAAATGAGGTTCAACAATATCAAAATAGATAATATTTTAAAAATTAATATAATCTTGATATTTGATATAGCACTTAGATCAGTGTTATGACTTTTACTAGAATGGAGGAGGATATTATAAATGATATATCATTCAAAATAATGAGTTTTCATTAGAGTAAAAGAGAATATTATGAATGATATATCCTCTAAAATAATAGGTTTTTATTAAAGTAGAAAAAGATATCATAAATTTATAAAGAAGTTGGGGGGAGGATTATCATAAATTTATTATTATATTTTATATTAGAGTTAATTTTAATATATAAATTTTAATATATTTTAATTTATAAAAATATTTTATAAAATTAAATATAAATTTAATAAATTAAAATACATAATACCTCGAATAAATATATAAAACAAGCGTTTTACAAGATTCTTAGTGTGCGTGCATTCAGAGGGTCCCAGAGAGAGCCAGATTCGTTATATCCATTCCTCCATCATGACGGCATATCAGGAATTCAATGGTTCGTGCAGAAGGAATTTTCACGTGGAAATCTATCTCCTTATTTTCCGCACTTCTATAAGCACCTAGGCTTTGCTTCTTTTGACTGTTAATTTCTTACTATTATCTGCTTTGACGATTATCTCAATCACCCAAAACGTGATCCACCACTGGCCAACCTTTGTCGAGTAATAATATAACTAAATAATAGTTGAGAAAAAAATTTTAATTTCAACTTTATTCACCAAATACATACATAAGGCGTAATTTGAACCAATGGAATCAATGGGTCCCTGCAATTCCCCAGTGTTGTAAGGTAACTTCGGCATCAATCCAATATCAATGAGTGGCTCTGATCCATTCCATGAGCACTAAAAAAAAAGGTCGGGTTTTGGTCTTTCTTTCTCCAGGTAAGAAGTTTTAATCAAAATCTCTCACCAAAATTGAAGTTGCAAAATTTTGGAGCGACTCTTTGATTTTCCTCCGCTCAATTCACGCGTTATTATAGTTGTTTCTATTCTCTTTTTCTCTCTTGCATCTTCAATATATATATACCCTTTCTGTCCTTTTGAAAGAGAGCCTTTCTTTTCCATTTCCTTTGTTCATCAGTTAACTGATCACCTTGTTCTCTTACAGTTCTCTGTTTAAAGTCTCCTAGCTGTTGTTTTTCTTGATCTTTTGCTCATTTACTTTTCTGGGTATTTCTTGTTTTTTGAGGTTTTAAAAGGTAGTCATGAATGCTCTTGCTGCAACTAACCGTAATTTCCGCCTGGCGTCTCGTTTACTTGGATTGGACTCTAAGCTCGAAAAGAGTCTTCTGATCCCTTTCAGAGAGATCAAGGTATTGCAATTTGCAACAAAATTCTCTTTTTTTTTTTTTTTGGGTAGTTTGATAGAAAGCTTTCCTGTTGTCTTTTGATCTTTAAATGTTATGTTTTGATTGGTGTTTGTTTTTGATCAGGTGGAGTGCACAATTCCCAAGGACGATGGAACCTTGGTGTCGTACGTTGGATTCAGAGTACAGCATGATAATGCTCGTGGTCCGATGAAAGGAGGAATCAGATATCATCCTGAGGTGATTACTTTTCTTCTTTTTTTCTGTTGGATTTTTGTCTTCTATTGTTTTTTGTTTTATGATTTCCGTCGTTTCTTTAGTCCTCAGAGATCGTCATTCGCTTTACTTTAGTTGGTAGCTTTAGGCATGCTCCTTTTAGAACGAAATGATAAACCTTTTTTAGTGATTTTTAATTTGGTTGCTTGGGAATTCTTACTTTGTTAAATCTACTTAGAGCTTTTTTCAATGTCTTGCGGAGTTACAGTAATGTAATCTTATTTACCTGCTAGAGCTTTTTGTTAAGAATATTGACTCAAATTTCATAAGAGATTTGTTAAAGATTTTTTAGATATTGTTTAATGGACAAGAAGATTAGCAAAAGAAGAATTCTAAGAAGAAATAGATTTTTAATAGATAAGTTTGACTTGTAAGAGAAAAATTTTAAGAGGAGAGAGATTCTTAATAGACAAGTTTATATTGTTATAAATAAGTGAAGTCTCTACAGAATTTGGTATGAAAAAAAAAATGTAATTTTTGATAGATTCTCTTGGATATACATATTAATTTGTGTATTTATTTTATATAAAATATTGATAATTCATATATTTAAATCGTGTTTTATATAAAAATTATGTTTTATAATTCATGTTAATACAAAAAATAAAAAATATATTTTTTAATTTTATTAATTTTATATATAATTTTTATTAAAATTTTAAATCTATCATTATTATGTCTATTTTTATATCATTTTCATGTGATGTCATTATAGATTACTTTAAATTACCACGTCTACTCCAGTACACTCAAAAAGGTAACCTTTTCTGTCAAATAGATTCTGATTTGAATGCCATAATGATAATAATGGAAAAGTTATATCTTGGCCTCTTAGGAATTTAGAGAATAATATCAATTAAGCAATATACTTTACCAAATAGGCCCTGCTCTGCTCTTCCTGATCCCTATTGTTAAATGAAATTTAGCAAAGAATTCTGGATATTGGGCTTCTGGCTTGTTACTCTGTTTCATGTTGTGAGTTCTAACGTACCTGTTATATTTGTTTCCCCTGTTCTAAATGGCAACGTGCAGTTTCAGTTGCGCATGTCTGTCTGTGCTGATCTTACATCATGAAAGTGCATAACATCTTTGGACTTGACAATCAATGTTTGTTAATTTTGTTTGAAGGTTGACCCTGATGAAGTAAATGCCCTGGCTCAACTAATGACCTGGAAGACTGCTGTAGCAGACATTCCATACGGTGGTGCAAAGGGTGGCATCGGATGCAACCCTAGGGATTTAAGCAAGAGTGAATTGGAACGTCTGACTCGTGTCTTCACTCAAAAGATCCATGATCTCATTGGTGTACATACAGATGTTCCTGCCCCAGACATGGGAACTAATGCACAGGTTATATAGTCCTCACTGAGTTATGTTTAGCTTTTCATGAATTTTTTGTTGGATTCTAAATTACAAAATTGTTTCAATTTCATTTAGTTTACTTTCTTCGATTTATTTGTATATTAAGAATATATTTGTGCAGACCATGGCATGGATTTTGGACGAATACTCTAAGTTTCATGGATATTCGCCAGCCGTTGTTACAGGAAAGCCAATAGTAAGTGCTAAAGACTGACATTTAAAGCTTGTAGTGTAATATTTGAGAAAAATATCAATAACTGTGTAGAATAACAAAATGTAAACATACTTATATTGGTAATTTTAGGATCTTGGTGGATCTCTAGGCAGGGAGGCTGCAACTGGGCGTGGTGTTGTATATGCAACTGAGGCTTTACTTGCTGAATATGGGAAATCAATGAAGGGTTTGACCTTTGTTATTCAGGTATAGTCAACATGAATCCATACAAGGTTAAAATGCCTTTTCCTCTGAGATGCTTCAAAAACTTCCTCTTTTAATGTTTATATTATTAATTTTTTTCCTAGGGTTTTGGTAATGTGGGGTCTTGGGCATCAAGGCTCATACATGAGAGGGGTGGTAAGGTTATTGCAGTGAGTGACATCACTGGTGCTGTTAAGAATCCAAATGGAATTGATATACCAGAGCTGCTAAAGCATAAAGAGGCTAGTGGCAGTTTGAAAAGCTTTGGTGGTGGAGATTCCATGGATCCAAACGAACTGCTTGTACATGAATGTGATGTTCTCGTCCCATGTGCTTTAGGTGGAGTCCTGAACAGGTTAGGATCCATTGCCAAGCATCTTGGTCTTCACATTTCTTTATAAACTGTTGCATGTATGTTGCCATTGCTGGCTCTTAATTTCATCTAAACTGTTGCAATGCAAAGTTTTCCCTATTCCATTTAAAAACTTATTGGAGCGGTAATGTCTCAATCGTTATCATATGGCTTCTTAATCACAGTCCTTTTAGAGGTTGAAACACTAAGCAACCAAACATGCTCGAAGTTGCATTTGTACTAATTTTTCGTGTCACCCAAAGCTAGGATATTCTAGTTTGGGGTTAGATTAGTTCTTATGTGTCCCATGACCAATTTATTTCATCTCAGCAGGACAAGTTATATATTCTATATTGGATATGGGGTCAGAATATGTTGCCCTTGCTGTTAAAATGCCTTACCTAACATTGGTTTATCCCTCCGTTTAGAAGGTTCCATTATTAAAGTAATATATTTGAGCAGTTGAACCAACTCCTGTCTCTTTTGCAATCTGTTCGGGAATTAGCTTTGCTTTTACTGTATCTTTATTGGGTTCATCTTATATTCCCATCATATGGATTGTCTCACATATTGACTTATCATGTTCTCCTTTAAAGGGAAAATGCTGCAGATGTGAAGGCAAAGTTCATAGTAGAGGGAGCAAACCATCCCACTGATCCAGAAGCAGATGAGGTAAATTGACCTCTTGTTTTCTGCTCCTAAAGATGGAGCTAAATACTGATCTGAGATTTTGATGCTGCAGATTCTATCAAAGAAAGGAGTAACAATACTACCTGACATATATGCAAATGCAGGAGGGGTGACCGTCAGCTACTTTGAGTGGGTTCAGGTAAACGATTTTTTTTGCAAACTAAAACATTTTGCCATGCAGCTTATCCTTTTAACTACTATAAACCTGTGAAGAGAAAAAGTTTGAACTACTGAAGAATTGTGACAACCTAGTGATGCTTCAGTCAACTCTTGGTGTATAGCATGTTATTAAATTTTTTGTCTGATTTGTCAGAACATTCAAGGTTTCATGTGGGATGAAGATAAAGTGAACAATGAGCTGAGTAGGTACATGACTCGAGCTTTTCATAACATCAAGAACATGTGCCAGTCACACAATTGCAATCTCCGGATGGGTGCCTTTACACTTGGGGTAAACCGTGTTGCCCGTGCAACGACCCTGAGAGGATGGGAAGCATAACTGACACTCCCTTGCAGTTTTTTATTTCTGTTTCTTTCCCTATTTTGGTTTCTAGTCTCCATTGAAAGCTCAAGCAATAGCTTTGAAGCATTCTTAGCTCCTCCCCCATAGTTTTAACTTTTAGTCGTTCTAATATTTGTCCTCCATGAAAGTTTTACATAAATTTTCAGCCTTAATGTTCATACTTCAAAATTCAATTCCACTGTAATTTTTATCTTTTGGTGCAAACTATTAAATCCTCTAATAAAATATTAGTATAAATTTTTGAGAATGTAGAACTACAGAATCAGCCGGGTGAGCACAGTGAATACTGGATAATTCTTTGCTTTATAAAAGGGAAAATAAACAAGGAACAAAAAAATAAAGAAGTACAAAACTTGCCCATAACTCTCTGACAGAAAGGTCGGGGAAGGAGAAGATAATCTTGTTTATTAAGAAGTATGGGCAAATTGCCTACTTCCCATCCCCACAAGAGCTTTAGAGAAGAGCAAAGAACCAGAGAAAGATACTCCCTTTGACCAACAATGGCTTCCGTTGCCATTTCTGCCTCCTTGCAAAGAGCTTGCAGCTCACATCATGTCACTGGGAAGTAACAGCCACAAGCCAAACCTGCTTATTCTCTGGTGATGAATGCTGTCACCCTTGCTGTGGAAGGCCAAAAAGGCTTTAAGATAGATGAAAAAGAGAATTCCGCTTCACAATTTGGTAAGTCCAAGGATTCTGAAGATAAAATGAAAGACGTCTTGGAGACAGAATCTTCTGCTCCAAAGTTCGGGGATGAACGCTGGAAGAATGGAACATGGGATTTGAATATGTTTGTTAAAAATGGTAGGATGGATTAGGATGGGATGACTGTTGCAGGAAAGCTCTCAAGGAATTCATAGTCCCTTAAAAAATTCATAGCTGAAATTCATCCTTCTAGCATTAGAATATGTAATGATATCTACATATCCGACCAAATTGGCAAATTAATGAGACCCCATAACAGCAGTTTTTGCCGGTTTTGTAGAAGCAAGGAGGAGAAAGTTCCTGGGGATGCACGCTGAAGCTACTATAAACCAAGAACCAGTCCAATTCAGAAGCTCGGTAATACCCTGGTGGGTATGGTTCATGAGAACATATCTTCTGGAGGCTGAGCTGCTCAATGGTTAATCAATAACTCCTCTCACTCACTGCAAACACAACTTCAAATTTCTTTTACTTCCAAAAAAATTTCTCTCTCAGCTACATTGCAATATATCATTTTTTGCGGGTCGAGCTACAGTGATAGGATTCTTCATGGCGGATGTTGTGGATGCTTTAACTGGGCTGGATCTATTCGGCCAAACATGCAATTTCATTTGCAAGGCAGGATTGTTTGTGACAGTTATTGGTGTCATACTGTTCAGGAAACCCAAGATCTTGATAACCTCAGAAAGCTTGCTGATGAGGCCACCTACCATGACAAACAATGGTAAGCATCCTGGAAAGATCAAAATGAAAGTTCCACTTCTTCAGAGAAAATTGGAAATACTTAAAAAATTTATACTTAAGTTCATGTTCATTTGTTCATCACAACTATATGACTTAACATTTGCCTGTTTGTAATGAAAGAAAAAAGTAATAAGTTGTTACAGATTGGAGTGAATGTGACGAAGAAAAAGGGAGTGTTAGAACTTAAGAACAAGAATAGAGATAGGAGAATATCGAGATATTGCATTTCATGATTCTCGGGTCGTTTCCAAGCTTGTCTTGTATATTTACATCACATTCCTATGACGGTAATTACAAGCATGCAATGAGAGAATTTTTTGCTAGAGCTAATTGGAGTCTGCCAGCTCAATGATTCTAACGACCTTGCCACCTTTCTCGTCCTTTTTCATTCTTCCATAAGCTCCTTTTTTATTCTCTCCTGCTTTCTTTTCTTCCCTAAATGCACTATCATTTTTATTTTTTAATTTTTTAAATAAAATTATTTAATTATTTTTCTCATAAATTTTTGAATATCTATATTCGATAAATTTTATAATTTTTTAAAAACTTATTTTTGAAATATTATATAGCTTACCAAAAATGAATTTTCAAAAAATTATAAATTTTTTGATAATCCATTTCAATAAAAATAAAAAAGTGAAAGTTTAAAAAAATATTAAAATTTTTATAAACTAGTGTAATAAAAAATTATTATTAAAAAATATAAGTTTTAAAATTAATAAAAAAATTAATAGTATCACAAAAAGAAAATTTTGTTTTTATTTTTTTAAAGTCATATCATTTTTGTCTTATAATTATTTTACGTAGATTTGATAATTTAAAATAAAAAATATTGATATGATAAAAATATAAAATAAAAATAAGATATAAGGTGTTATAATTTAAAATTTTAATAATAATTATATATAAATTTAACAAAAAAATAAATTTTATCTTTTTATGTAGATGTAAATTATAATCTTAATTTTTACATAAAATATAATAATAATAAAAATTTTAATATTTTATATGATATAAATATGTTTGTAAAATCTAATTTTATGACATGAACATGTTACGTGATTAGGTCATCATATCTGGCATGGCCATCCTATTTTATCAAGCTGGTCCGGCTGGCAGAAAACAATCGTGCAAGATTTTATAGTTGACTGATGAAAATAAATAAGTAACCTTGAGCTCTATCATTGTTTCTTCACTGCTCTCTCTAACTTTCACGTGTCAATAGAAACAACAGCGACACAGAATCCAAAATGCAGACTCTGTCCAAAAGCTCGAATTCCTCGGCGCGGTTGTTGGCGGATAGCGCGGAGGCTGAGCGACGTCTCCGTGAGGCGGAGGAGCGATTGAGGGAGGCCATAGAGGAGCTCCAGAGGCGTCAGAGGAAGGCGGCGAGTGGCGACCGCCCTCCGTGCGACCACGCTGACGTCTCATGTGTGGCTAACGCCATTGGCAATCTTTGCCAAAGCTTTCTCCTTTCTTATGGTGTGAGAGTGGGTATCGGGATTCTTCTTCGCGCTTTCAAGCTCGTCAGAGGACAGTCCTACTCTTCGCTTCTTGATCTCAAGGTTAGGGCTTTTTATGTCAGTTTCGTAAAAGATCTTGCTTTGACTTGTTTTCAACGTGTGATTATATAAACTGTATTAATTTGAAGGTTTGAGCTTTGTTACTTGCTATCATTTTCTTGAGTAGATAAAAATGAACACTTTTAGTTGAGGCTATTTATTATAAAACGAGATTAGATGGTTGTTTGGGTTTTATTATTTGTCTTTTCAAGGAATTACCATGTAAGAATATGCAGAGATTTGATATTAAGCAATGCTTGAATGTCTGGATTTTGTTTTTCAGCAATTTGTCTCAGAGAAAGATTTGATTGTAAGAGAGGAAGCATGCCGCATTGGTTTACTTTTTGGTGGCTTTACAGGATCATACCATGCGCTTAGATGCTTACTAAGAAAGCTGAGAAGGAAAGATACACCTGTGAATGCGTAAGTTTGCTACATAAAGCCTTACTTTGGCTTTTTTGTTTTGTTTTTTGTTTTTAAATGGCCAACTTCCATTAGATGTATATCTCATTGTTGTTTATGGTATATGATTGGTTGAATAGTTGAAAACTTTGGATGCATTCTAGAGCCTACTCCTATCTTTGACATTGTTTAACGTCATGATGGAACAGAATTTTAGCTGGTTCAATTGCGGGGTTGTCTGTTTTAGCTTTAGATGATTCAAACCAAAGGCGTACACTTGCACTGTATGTTTTGGCTAGAGTAGTCCAGGTACATGCATGCATTTTTAAAAAGTAAATTTGCAAAGCTGTTTGAAATTGTAGAAACCAGTTTTCTTATTTACAATCTAATGTTTTGCTTTACTCTTCAGTGTGCTTATAATTCTGCAAAGTCAAAAAATAAGTTTCAATTACGGGGAAGCCAGTGGAGGCATGGTGACTCTCTGCTCTTTGCTTTAGCATGTGCCCAGGTAATACAAAGCTCATATTGATTTTTGTGCTAGATTTTTACTTCAGACTTTTGGACTTGTTTTTTTTTTTTTTTCTCTGTACATCAATTGATGATAGTGAAACATTCATAATGCCAGACGGTAAAAGGTGAAAAAAGAGAAGCTGCTAAATTTTAGATATAAATAAAATACTACAAGATTTGACTCTTTTATATGTGATGTTCAGGAAAGCTAACTAATTGTATTCTGTTCCTGTCACATTGTGAATTTTACCTCCATTTTTTTTTGTTTGTGATTACTTTTTCCATTTTAGAAGTTATTATTTAGTAAAGGTTGCTTGTCTAACGAATTAGTGTTTGCTTCTGAGGTTAAAAAATGATTGGAAATTTTCTTATTGTTTCATATCTGCTTTTCTCTTAATAGGGTTAGGTTTTTGTAATTTATATCATCCACGTTTGTTTTGACTTCATCCCATTTTACCGACTGATGCACATACCAGGTTATGTATGCCTTTGTGATGTGCCCCCAAAGCTTGTCAAAATCATATGAAGATTTTATTCAGAAGACAGGTCCTGTTGCAGCTTCTGTATATAAGGCTGTAAGGGAGAACTGTAGAGGTGGTCCAGTGGATGTCGCATCTATATCAGCCTACTTATATAGTCAAGGGAAGTCCAATAATTTGAAGTTGGAAGAGTTCACATCTATTATTCCTTGTTCTGTTTTTCATCCAGAAACAAATTCTTGTCTAGCCCACAATGCTAAAACAGCATCGGCTACATTCAGGAAAACATTTCCGCTGTACTTCTCTTTAACTTTTGTGCCATTTGTTGTTCTGCACCTACAAAAGGTACATCTTGCTTAACATACTGGTTTTCCTCTCTGCATCTGTGTGTGAGGAGGGACCTTGGAGTTGTTTTCGCTTTTGAATTTTCCCATAATATGCTTCTTCTTATAGAAAGCAGCGAACAGGAAAATAATGATCTTAATGCATTTTGAGCTCTACAAAATTGAAACTTTTTTTTAAATGAAACGATCAATCCGGTTTATTAAATAATGCTACGTTAGTAATGTTGGGTGAGTGGAATGGGAGTGATGGGTTTTATTAACAGGTTACTCTTCCTATAGTTGTGTAAAACCACTTATGCCTGGTAAGGCAACAGATCCAATCGACAGTTTTGTCCTTTCGTAACTAAGTCAAAATTTCTTTTAGTTGATTTTACAGGTTTCTTTTGGTCCACATTGAGTAGCAATTATATATATATATATATTTTTTTTCTGGCTATCTGTAGATGGCGTGGCAATGAAATTTTATTTTGGAAATGGTCCTTATTTTTTTTTGTTTATTGCGTTATCTTGATACGCTTCTAGTTTATGGATACCCCTGCTCGTACCTGTTGGCTTGCTGTTAAAGATGCTGTTCAATCAACAAGTTTCTTGTCTGCATTTGTTGGAATTTTTCAGGTAGCTGGTTTCTCATTTCACATACCCTTTTTTCTTTTGTTAAAATCTGTATGAATATGTTCTTGAAAACTTTTCTTGTGCGATGCAAGGGGGTTATATGTATGCACAGAAAGATTGCATCTAAAGATCACAGGCTGGTATATTGGGTTGCGGGTGCTTTATCAGCTCTTTCTGTATTACTAGAGAAAAAACCTATACGCAGTGAACTTGCTTTATGTGTTCTTCCGCGAGCCGGAGAATCATTGTGGTATATTTTCGTAAACCGGCGCCTGCTTGCTAATGTTGAAAATGCTGAGGTATGTTAAAATGTCAAAAATCTGGCTCTTAATTTTCTTTCTCATGAGAGCTTCTTTGTTGGTCTTAGTGAAAATCATGCCCATAGTTAGATAGATAACCAACTTTTTCCTTGATATTTCTGGGGCCTGTCACCTTGTTTTGGGTCCTTACGTTAAAAAGTCATGAATTTTGCTGGCATGAATTTGGTGACTATGTTACAATGTACTATTGTTAGTTAGGAAGCACTTCACAGCAATGAATTTTTAAGGAGATGTATTACGACGACGTTTATGTGTGCTGAGTGCTCATGTGAATCATGATTTGTCCAAGTCTTGCACATATAAATTGAGACAGAAGATGGTTTCGTTTATCTACCACATTATTTCGCTATTAACTGAGTTGGTTGTTTTCATGTAAATTTCGCTTCTGAATTGATGCTTCGGAACTGTCATAGGTGGCCTTATTTTGTGCATGCATGGGAGGAATCATGTACTACGTAGAACATGAGCCAGATACCGTGGCCCCATTCTTTATGGGCCTAATCCGTCGCTTCCTGGCTAGCAGAATAAGCAATCCTGGCCCTTCATCTAATCGGACAGCTTCCTACACCTACTCGCGGACTCTTGATGCCATGAAGAAGCCAAAACTACAGGACAACCGAGGGCTTGAAACTTCAACTCCTAAACAATACAGTCTTGAATCTATACAGGGGCTCTAAGCACATTTTTGTTGAGTACATATGACTCCTGAATTTCAGTCAACTATCCATTCTTTGCAATTGATATACACTTTGTTGCTAAAAATATATTTGTATTAGAAATGATTCAATGCTCTGAAGGCAAGTTACTGAAATAGAGGGATTTGTTTTTGGTCCCTGTTAATACTCCTCAGGGGAACAGTTGCTCTTATTGTTCTTATTGAAGAGACATTGAACAGGAAGAAATGATATGATGATAAATGTAAAGATTTGTGCAACTGATGTGCTTTTGCCCTCTGTAAATAATATTAGTTGCAGTCTATTCCAAAGTTCATCTTGCTTAACAACCAAGTTATCCTTTTTATCATTTTTGTGAAAACCGATTCCTAACCAAACTTGATTAAGTGTCATTCATTTAGTATTTTGATTGTTTCCTAAATAAAAGGGATTTGGTTCATTGTTAAAATTTTTACTTGGTAGTTTTCATTTATTGTTAAAGGATTTTAGGTAATTTGTTATTATCTCTAAGATATCATGAAATTTGTCAGATTTGATATTTTAACTATATATATACTTTTGTACTTTTAAAATTTTTTAAAAATTCATAAATAAAATTCTCACGAATTTCTTCATTGTATGAGAGCATTCATATGGAATCATCAAAACATATATATATATATAATTTTTTTCGTTTTATTTTTCTATCTACGTCATGGCCAATAGCACAGGTGTAATTGAGTCTCTTATTTTCTCTATCACCGATCATAAACTTAATAAACAAAACTTCATCCAATGGTCTCAATCAGTGATATTGTTTGTTTGTGAAAAAGGTAAGGATGATTATTTCATGAGAATGGTTGGTTCACCCAATGATGAGGACTTGAAGTACTGAACCTGAAAGTTAGAGAATAGCATGGCAATGTTGTGGTTGATCAATTCTATAATCAGCGAGATTGGTGAGAATTTTATGTACTACAAAACTATTAAGAAGATTTGAGATGCTACAAAAGAAACCTACTTCAACGTAGACAATACATATGTAATATTTGATATCAAAAGCACTCTATATGATTTGTGGCAAGGAGTCTCTTCTATCACAGAATATTGAAATTCTTAATTCGTTATTGGCAACAATTATATATCTTTGAAGAAATAGCATGGAATTGTCCTAACGATAGCCAATAATACAGGAAAATAGTGGAGAAGGATCGAGTTTATAAATTTTTACTTGGTCTAAACAAGAGCCTTGATGATGTTTATGGGAGAATTTTTAGCATCAAGCCATTACCCAGTATCCGAAAAGTTTTCTCTTAGGTTCGCCAAGAAGAAAGTAGAAGAAAGTGATGATAGGGATATCATGCAATCCATAAGAGACAATAAATTTAACCCTTGCTACACGAGGACCAAAATCCTACCAAAGTGGTGAAAATCAATAGGAAAAAGGTAACAGACCATGGTGTGACCACTGTCAGAAGGCAAGACACACATAGAGAAATTGTTGACAAATCCACAGGAAACCTACTGACTATAAGCCAAGTTCTACTCGAGACAACTCCAACACCTTCAAAATCAAGCCTATTTAGTAAAGAGTAGTTGAAACTCTTTCAAAAAATTATTCAGCAATCTCTTCAAAACACTAGGTCAATTGTAAGCAGAGCGTCTGTTACATAAAAAGGTAACTTTCTTAATGCTTTACTTGTGCAAAGTGAAAAATCAAGATATTGGATTGTTGATTCAGGCGCATCAAACTACATGACTGGTGATGCATCGGTGTTTCATGAATATAGCCCATATTCTGAAAATCTCATAGTTTGAATAGCAGATGGGTCATTCTCTCGGGTAGCTGAGATAGGTTCAGTCATTATTTCAAAAGACATAACACTTGACTTTGTTATTCATGTCCTAATTTAGATTGCAACAAACTATCTATTAGTAAAATAATGAGAAATCTTAATTATGTTACTAAATTTCGTTCTAACATGTGTAAATTTCAGGGCTTGTATTCGTAAAAGAATATTGGCAATGCTAGGATGTGTGTTGGATTTTATCTATTTACAGGTGAAGAATCTAAGAGACAGTCATAGAAAAATACTTATTTGATTTCATCTTTTAGTAAAAGTAAAGAAAATACAATCATGTTATAGCACTATTGTTTAAGACATCCAAATTTGTTGTACCTTAAAAAAATGCTTCATTGTTTTATTCAATAACAATTTTAAGTCTTATCAATATGAAATTTATCAGTTTTTCAAACATCCTCGCAATTCATATCCAAGTCAACCATATAAATCAACTCATCTTTTTTTTATGATCCATAGTAATGTTAGGAAATCATCGAACGTTAACAATATTACAGGCTTTAGATGGCTTGTTACCTTCATTGATGATTACACCAGAGTTATATAACTGTTCTTCATGAAAGACAAGTCAAATGTTAGTTCAATGTTTCAAAATTTCAACAAAATGGTGCAAACTCAATTTTAAGCAATAATTCAGGTGCTCAGAACAGATAATAGATAAAACTACTATCATTCAGTTATTAGATCTTACTTGTTAGATCAAAGAATTATTAATCATAGCTCATATACTGAAACTCCTCAACAAAATAGAGTTGTTGAATGAAAGAATAGACACATGATAAAAGCTACAAGATCTATTATGCTAGCCTCTTATGTCCTCGAAACATTTCTGGGGAGAGGCAATCCTAACAACAGCCTTTCTTATTAATAAGATGCCTTCTCGAGTACTAAAATTCCAAACTCCTTGTCAAACACTTTTCAAAACCTACCCTTATGTCTAAATTATTTCTTTCATACCAATTAAAGTGTTCGGATATACTATCTTTATTCTTATACACCAATAACAACGCAATAAACTAGACCCAAGATCACTCAAGTGAATATTTCTTGGCTACTCACCTAACTAAAAAGGCTACAAATGTTATCCACCAACTACTAAAAAGTTTTACACTTCTATGGATGTCACATTTTTTTAGAATCAGTCATTCTATGCCAAAGCCAATATTCAAGGGGAAAGTTATAGGGAATATCAACTTTAGGAGATTGAGCCATCATATGATCCTTTCTTTATTTGTTTACCAATTCAAATTTTCATTTCAAATAATTCTTCTTCTTTTTTTTCAGAGTCAACTAGTATAAGAGACAAAATCTAAGGAAATGATTATATACTCAAAGGAGACCGAAATCTTAAAAGAAGATAAGGACCTGTACATCTCCAACACAGAACCAAAATTCTGAACCAAATCCAAGGACTTTTGAAATTCATACAGGTAACACAATTACTGAACCTATCTCTGATGATTTTTCTAATGATCTTGATCAGCCCATTGCTATAACAAAATGTGTGAAATCATGTACTCAACATCCTATTAGTAACTTTGTTTCCTATGAAGGGTTGTTTCCTACTTACTGAGTATTGGTTACATCATTAACTAATGTTCATATATTGAATACCATCTAAGAAGCGCCCGAACAATCAAAGTGGAAGGCTGCGATAATAAAAGAAATGCATGCACTAGAAAAGAATGTCACATGAAAAATTACTAATCTTCCTAAAAGAAAAAGCCTAATGGGATGTAAGTGAATTTTTACTATCAAACACAATACAGATGGAAATATGAACATATTCAAAGCTCGTTTTGTGACTAAAGGGTTCACTCAGTCTTACGAGATTAATTACAAGGAGATGTTTGCTTTTGCAGCAAAATTAAATTTTATTCGTGTGTTACTATCACTTGCTGCAAACTTAGATTAGCCTCTTCACCAACTCAATATCAAAAATGCATTTATGAATTATGATCTAGTGGAAGAGGTCTATATGAAGATTCCTCTAGGGTTTGACAACTAAGACAACATTGGCAAGGTGTGTAAGCTTTAGAAATCTTTATACAGCCTTAAACAATCTCCTTAAAAAGAATGGATTCTTATAATACCAATTTGACCACACTATATTTGTCAAACATTCACTAAATAGCAAGATTGCTATTATGATTGTTTATGTTGACAATATTGTCCTCACAGGAGATTATGAAGAAGAAATAGTTGGATTGAAGACTTTTCTAGCTAAAGAGTTTGAAATAAAAGACTTAGGACAGCTTAGATATTTTCTTCGCATAGGAAGTAGCTCGATCAAGAAATGATATTTATATTTCATAACAAAAATATGTACTTAATCTTCTCAAAGAGATAAGATGCTCAAGTGTAAACCAATGGATATTCCGATGAGCCCAAATGTCAAGATGGGAATCGAAGATGGAAGTTCTCTTGCATACCAAAGCAAAACAAGAGAATTATGGAAAAATTAATTTATTTGGCACACACTAAACCTAACATTGGCTTCTTTGTAAGTATGGTGAGCAAATTATGAACAATTCTACAAAGACACATATGGAGGTAGTATATTGGATCCTTCAATATTTGAAAAAAAATCCGGGCAAAAGGTTGCACTTCAAAAAAACATCAAATAGAGATGTGGAGATTTTCTTAGATACAGATTAGGTTGGTTCTGTGACAAATTGAAGGTCAACTATAAGGTATTATACATATGTGTAGGGTAACTTGGTCACCTGAAGGAGCAAGAAAAAAATAGTGGTAGCTCGAAGTAATGCTGAAGCTGAATTTAAGGCTATGTCTCACATGATTTGTGAAGGAATTTGGCATGAGAGAATGCTACAGGAACTGAAGAAATCAACCAGATATTCAATGAAGCTATTTTGTGATGATAAAACAACTATTAACATTGCCAAGAACCTTATTCATCATAATTGAATGAAACATGTAGAGATTGATCATCATTTCATCAAAGAGAAAATTGAAGAAGGCACAATCAAACCGGTCTACACTCTAATAGAAAATTAGACAGCCGACATTCTCATTAAGGCTCTTCATTATGACAATTTTGAGAATTTGAAATTCAAGTTGGGTATGATTGATATGATGATATCTACCACCCAACTTAAGATGAGTGTAAAAAATCGATTTCTAACCAAATTTGATTAGATATCATTCATTTAGTATTTTAAGTTGTTTCTTAAATAAAAATGATTTGGTTCATTGCTCAAATTCCTACTGATAATTTATATTTATTGTTAAAATTTTTTTAGGTGATTTATTCTCTTTAAAATATTAAGAGATTTGTCAGATTTGATATTTTAATTTTATATATATATATATATATTCTCTTATACTCTAAAAATTTTTAAAAATTCATAAATAAAATTATTATGAATTTCTTCAATTTTATTCCACATACCTGTTTTGGTTTTCAAGAAAGTTGATTGTACTGCTTTGTTCCTTAAATCATAGTGAAGTCTGAACACTGTTTTTCAATCAATTACGATATTTAACTATGGTTTGATGACATAAACATTGCAATTCATTGTCAAATCTTAACTCAGGAAAACCAATCAATGATTTGCACATGTTTGGATCGGCCTAAACAGGCTGCTATGATATTAGTTACTGGAAATTAATTGAAAAATGCATCCTGTTTGAAGTCCCAGTGCTAGGCATCATTATTAACTTCTAGTTTAGCACTGGTGAACAGGTCTGCAGCAACAAAAATTCTGTGATTGATATCTCTGAGGTCCCTACATTACAATTTGGCTACATCTGTCCATTATTTTACTTTTTCTTCTAAGACAGATCTTAGGCAGCATAATATATGACGTTCCAGGAATTTTATTTTGGTTGGGAGAGGTGGCTGAAAGAGAATGATTAGTTCCAGGAAAAGGTACTTCTGCTTTTTATATGCATGTATAGCTCCTTTATTATCAAAGATCAGTTATAGCATAATTCTACCAGATCAGAATGGACAGAAGATTGTTTGATGCTGCTCAGACTAGAAACATTGACAGCTTGCACCAATTGCTGAGAGAAAATGCCCTCCTCCTTGATCAAATTGCACTTTTTTCTTCTGAAATTCCCTTGCACATAGCTTACACTGCTGGGAAATTTGACTTTGTCAAGGAGATTATCAATTTGAAACCTGATTTGGCCAAAGAGGTTAACCAAAATGGTTTTAGCTTCATGCACATGGCAGTTGTCAGCGGGCACCTAGAGATTGTTAGCGAGCTAATGAAAGTTGATCCCTCTCTTTGCCGATTCCAGCAGGGAACTCATGACATGAAAACTCCTTTTCAATTTGCATCCATCAAAGGGAGGGCAAATGAAATAAATGAAATGCTTTCAGGTTGTGCTGAGTGTATTGAAGATGTGACACTTCAAAAAGAGACTGCCTTGCAACTTGCTGTTAAGTGCTGCCAGTTTGAAGCAGTTAGTGTCCTAGTTCATTGGATAGGGTTCTCAACCTCTCTTTACATGATCAAAATCCTCACCAGCAAATTTCCCTTGGAGTTCGAGCTTGGTATGTGTATACTGGCCATGTTTTTCTCGTACAACACTGCATTAACATACATTTCTGCAGACGATGTGACGGTGGTGGTCATTATTATCACTGCAATCTTATCTTCAATTACACCACTTTTGAGCAAGTGGATACAAAGATTGATAGGGTGGATTATAAAGTTTACGGTGGAAAATATCCATAACATCATTTGAACTTTGAAGTATGGAATGCCAGTAATTTCATGAAAGGCTGTAAATACTTACATCCTTTGCTTCTTACTAGCCAAAGAACGGTAATATGGAAGAAAGTGAAGTGCATCCTCACACTATTGCCACATAGCTTTTATCTGGTATCATATAAGCCTTGTATCCTATTGTATTTGAAACTACCCTGTTAGATACAATAAATTAAAATCCACAAGCTCTTTAGCATTCTATAAAGTAGTTTACTTATTATGTACCCCGTAAGAAAATGTATATCCATGAGGACCTAACACACGTTCTCTATCTCGACAAGTAACATAAACAAACCAAGATGGCTATCCCAAAAAGAGGTTGAAGAGATTTTATCATTGATCAGGAGATTTACATATTTTATACGTTTTAATACCAATTTTACACTCAATGCCACCAAATTTAATTGTACAAATACGATTCTGTAGAGAACCTCCAAAGCTGGATGATTTTGTTTCTTCCTCGACCACTCTCTTAAGTGAACCACTAAGGTCTCCTAGTGCCCAAGCCAAGGATATATGAGGCCGTGGATCCTGTGGATTGACAAACAATATGATACACGTTCATTGCTGTGAATTTTATGAAGTATTGATTAGACTTGGCAATGAATCATAACAGCCAAACCTTATAGAACTCGGGAAGATTATGAAGCTTGTAAACCTCATTAACAGCGAGAATTTGCTTAGTTATCTGAAAATTAACCGCAACCAAGTAAATACCATATTTTTGGAATAAAAGAACAGTGGACTATAGGGGGGAAAAGAAACAGAACTGCAAGATGAGCATGCCAATTTGGTCTACAGAAGGAAGACAACCATCCTACTAAAGCAGATACAACTTAAATACTTAATTGTCTGCAAGGGAGAATAGAACAAAGCCCCAACTAGTATGACAATCACTACAACCAAATATGATGTAGAATTTTTCACTCCAATGGAAGCAACGATCTCTGAATTTTTATGCCATTTTAAAACAAGCACTTCTCACTTTAATATTTTATTATATTATAGAAATTTAAAATAAATTATACTGCACATTTAAATACAAAACAATAGTTGCAAGCATGCTCCCTAGTGTAGTCTCATCAGTCCTCTAGTTCAACAAGCATGATACATGATACACTAACCGTGCATATAACATCTTGAAGGTAAACAAATACACCAAAACAGTTATATTAACCTGTTATCTCCTCAAATATAGAAACATTTATTTATAGTAGCAAGTAATTATTTTTCATATAAATGATAATATTAGAATGTCTAGCCTAATATCAAACTTAAACTTGCACTTCTCTAGAGAAAATGTGGTATGCGTTTATATCGAAAATGGAAATAGGCAATAAAGCTATGACATTTATCCTCTTTCTTTATCTTTTCTTTTGCTCCTGCGATGTCCACATATCTAAACAATGAATGATCACACAGCAAAAACATGCTCAATATGTGAAGGAATTATCATTACAGCGAAAAAAAGAAAGGAAATCCAGCACACATACCTCAGCTAATCCTCCTGTAACAACTTCTAGCGAAAGAAAGGTGCGTGTTTGATCATCATTGACAAAAACCTCCCATTTGTTAAAATCAATCCAATACCTACTTGCAATAAGAGAACAGTTCAAAACCATATCCTGGAAACCATTAGGTAAAAAACCCATACACAGGTTTTAAGAATTGATCTAGAACAAACAAGAGAACAACATCTAACCGCTTTTGAAACTGAAGCTTCTGGCGCAGCATTGTTACTATAGAGTCAATCTGGTGAACTCTAATGGGAACTGTCCTTCCTAAACTTATGTGGAATTCCCTTCCCAATGCAACTTGTTCTAGGTTATGTTCCTCTTTACAGAGAGTACTCAATGGAACATCAATATCCACAACATGAAGACTGGGAACAAAGGATGAAACCCTCTTCAAGAACTGACCCATCTCTTTCTTTGAAGTGGAGGGTATATAAACTGAATAACAAAGTAAAAAAAGCACTCTTTCATTATTATTGATGAAGAAAAAGTAACAATTCATTTTAAGAAGCAAAAGACACCTGGGATATAGACGTGCAAAGCATAGTTGCCTTCGACGTGAGGGAAACTTCTGATTCTACTGGGCTGACCGGTTTGCGGGTAATCCAGCAACCCTTTAAAAAGAAAAGTAAAATTGTTAGTGGGCAAAAATGAAATAGAAAAATATTAATAGTATATGATGTAAAGGTGGTTGCTGTTTTGAATTACCAAGGGAATTAGGAGGGTCGAGGAGAGAGAGAGGAGGTGGAGGCAGAGGGGAAGAGAGTGTTTCCTCTGTTTGGGATTTCGATTTGGTGGGACGAGTGGATGGAGTGGTGGCTTCGGAGTCGGAGTCCGAGGATCCGTCTCCGTATGTGGCTCTTAGCGCTTGCATTTCCAACGAGATGAGATCGCTAATTTGCTGCACGGTGGCAAAGCGTGATTAGCTGCCCGAAACGGCGGAAACGCGGCTCTTGGTTTTCTGAGGGTACATTTGGAGGAGAGATTAGTTTCGAAAAAATTAAAAACAGTAGTAAAACATAAATTAGTTAAATATTGTAATAATAAAATTAACATTAATGATAAAATATATATTTACATATAAAATTAATGATAACGGTAAAATAAATTATTATTAAAAATAATAAAATAAAAATTATATTAACAAAAAAATTAAATTATTTAATATTTATAAAATTGATAAATTATTAAAATTTATTAAATTATTTTTAAATAAATTAATAGTTTTGCTAATAAAAATTAAAAACAAAAATAGTGTTAAAAATTAATAAAATAATTATTATATTAAACTAATAAAAATATTTTATAATTTTTAAATAAAAATCAAAATAAAAAAAAGAAAAAGTTAAATTATAAAAATATTTTGTTTCTGTAATATAATATAAATGTAAAGGGCAAAAAAAAAAAAAAAAAAGAAAGTTTCACTCCACTGGATCAATTTCTTCCAGTGAAAAAAAGAAAAAAAATACTCCAATGCGGTGAGAACACTCAATCGCATCACTATTATGTTTTCTAAACGAATTTTCAATGAGTTCAGAGGATGCAATCGGTACTCATTGTGGTTGCGATTGCATCCAAATGGAGATTGAGGGTCTATTTAGATAAATAATAAAATTATTTTTAATGAGATTAAAAATAATAATTGAGATAAAATTAATTACTTTAGTAGTAAAATTAAATATTATAATTATGAAATTAAAATTAATGATGAAATATGAATTTGAATATAAATATAACAGTAATGATGAGATTAAATATAATGAAATAATAAAATGATTATTAAAGATATAAACTAAAATTTATATGTAATAAAAATTTTAAATTATTTAGTATTTATAAAAATAATAAATTATAATAAATTATTAAATTATTTTTATATAAATAATAAATAATGGAAGACTTGATAAACATAAATAATTTAAAGATAATTAAGTAAAAATAAAAATAAATTAACAAATTTAAAAAGTTAACAATATAAATTTATTTATCATTTAAATAATTAAAAAAATAATAACATGAAAAACAAAGAAAAACATGAAGATAAAACGGGACAAAATTGTAAAAAGGAGTGGTGCAGTTGCTCACTGCACCTTTTTGCTCCGGTCAAAATTTGATGCTCCAGTGCAGTTAAAAACTGCATCGCATGCTATCCAAACAACATTGGATGGTGCGATTGCCAAAAAAAAGCGTGCAATCACACTGCACTGATGCTTCAATGAGATCCAAACGAATCCTGAGTCTCTTTTGCAAGACTACCGTTGATTTGAGGCGTCAACTACACAACTCGAAACGTGTCGTTTTTGTATATTCTTTTGTAGGTGTTGCATTTTTCTTTTATTATTATTATTTTTTAAAAAATCAAAGTTTAAAGATTCACTCTTACATATACCTAATAAAAATTTAATTTTTTATTCAAATAAAAAAATGGATATTAGTGAGTATGATAACGAGATAAGTATAATTTTAAATTTTTATTAGATATAAAAAATAATAATATAATATTTATCTCGTATATGTATCATATTATATATAAATAATATAAATTATTATTTTAAATTAATTAAAACTAATACATTTTTATTGAAAAATATATATAATTACCTAATATACAAAATAAAAAAACTAAAAAACATAAATTTTAGTTTTTTAAAAAAACTATAGATATTGGAATTATTTATGTCAATAAAAATAAATTTAAAATACCTATTGAATATAAAATAAGTATAATATAAAAAATCAAAGATGAAAATGAAAAATGCTCTATCTCTCAATATTTTTTTTTATATTTGACAATTCATATTATCATGTTGTATTTCACATATAACATGATTTCAAACATGATATGAATAATCTTAATACGAATAGAACACGAATAATTTAAACATGAATATAGTACATATATTATTCATGTTATACGTTACACGATATGATTAATACATTTAAAATTAATTTATATCAAAATAATATGATATGACATGACATGATTAGTATAATTATATACGAATAACATAATTAAACACTATTAATTTATTTTTTTAAATAAAAAAATTATTTAATTAATATTTAAACAAAAAATTATTTTAAAATTAAATATTTATAATATATTTAAATATCAAAATGATACGATAAATGTAATTATCAATTTATTTCTTAAATAAATTAAAATAATTTTTAATTTTTTAATGTTATGAATAATTTCGTATATTAAGTATGTCATTATTATTTGTTACGAATATAACATGAATAATATTATATCTTAATTATGTTGATATGATTAAAATATAAAACATAATTATATTAAATATATTTTTTTTTATGTTATTTTTATACCATATTTAAAATTATTCGATTTAATTCTAGCTAGCGACATGCTATTCAAGTTTGCATGTATGCATATTTTGAATTAGAAGATCAACCCAACAGCCCAAGGCCCACAATTTGAATTTTTCTCTAGAGGGAAAAGAAACCAAAGTCACGAACCCCTACACTTTCGGCCGAAAAGAAAAAGAAGGCTACCTCGCGAATCAGAATCGCTAGTATCAGTATGTACTGAAATCTCAACGACACAAATGTCCGAAGAAAATGTTAATTTCGCGCCTGTCCCGCACGCCACCAATCAGACTCCGCAGCTACTAACACCTCGGATTTCTCAGAATTTCAGAGCCGCCAAGCCTTTCCTCTATCGTAAACGGGCTCGCGATGATGGCTATCTTTACCGTCATTCCCCTTCAGGGTAAGCGATTTTCTGTTAGGGTTTCTTGCTTTTTAATCACAAGAAAACTGTGGAAAGAAAAAAAAATCATGTCATATTTTCGATTTTTCCTGTTGTTTCTTGATTGTAAAGCTGAGTTAAGACAATTTTCAGTCTTAACTAAAAAATCCTGATACTTAATTTGATTTTGGAGAGAGTTTCCAAGAATCTGATAGCTTAGACTTTTTCATCTTGTATGCTAGCTATTAGACCTGGTAATTGATTTCTTGTCCTATAAAATATTAATAATTCGTATATTTATCTTAAGTTTTACACAAAAATACGTCAACACAAAACATGAAAAATATTATTTTGGATTTATCAATCCCATATATGGTTTTTATTAAAATTTTAAACTGTATCATTTTTGTGTCCCTTTTTAAATATGGTTTTGGTGTGATGTTTTAAATTGTCAGGTCTAGTAGCTATCGTCCTAACAACTTGTCCAATTTAAAAGCGATTCTTTCCTCATTAGAAATAGCTAAGATTTGATGTAGCATATCAATTTCCTCCCCTTTTCCTTTTCTTGCTTTAACACCCTGCCCAAGAATCCTTCATGTTTGAGAGTCTAGTTTGTTTTGTAGATGTGTTAATAGAAAATGATTAGGAATGAAACTTGTGTTCTTTCTAATTGTTTTTGTTCCAGACATAGTGATGGAATTGAAAGCAAATTGTCAGCTTCAGATACTGGCATCAAAAGAGTTCCTCTTATGGAGATGCCTACCAACATACCATCCCCCTTTTCTACCACTGGATACAAGTCAATAAAAAGTCAACATGGTGAGTTTTCGAATGTCAGATCGGTGGCTGGTTCTATGGACACTGGATGCTTGTCTGATCCTTTTATAACCCCTATAAAACAACCACATGCCTCTAATTTAAGTGATTCGTTCTTGACACCTAGCCTTCTAGATGAGGATTTTGATGAATCTATTTTAGAAGAAATTGATGCAATTTGTGAGAAGCAGTCTGCAGGAAAAACAGAAAGGGAGGATCTAAATGTCAAAGTTGACATGGGAGGTCAGCAAAATGATAATGATATTTGTAATGATCATATTGCTCTTTCGGCTCTTACTACAAATGAGAATGTAAGAGCAGAAAGTGCAGTTGATATCAGGAATTATTTTGGGTTAAAAGAGGAGGATCTAAGTAGTTTGGGGGCTACACAGAGTGGGAATATGCCCGATGAATATTCAAAATACTTGCAATCTTTGAATGATAGACAGCGTGAAGCAGCTTCTAGTGATATATCAATCCCTTTAATGATTGTTGCGGGTCCAGGAAGTGGAAAGGTCTATTCCTCTCTCAAATTCTCGTAACATGCAGACAAACTCTTTTCTTGAACTTTTCTTTCAGGTAGTTCGTTTATGTTTATCCTGTTATAGTAACAGCTGAACTTTCTTTTTCTATTTTAGACTTCCACAATGGTTGGGCGTGTTCTGATGTTGCTTAATGAGGTATTGCTCGTTTCCCCATCATATTTTCTTTTTCTGTTTAATTTGCTCTTTTTCCCCTTTTAACTGTCCTTTTTGTCAGTTGTAGCTGGAGACAACCCCTGGCTTGCCCTTCTTTTCTTCCTTGTAATAATGTAAAATCTGACATGTAGAGGATGAAAAGGATGCATTGATTTTCTTCTTATGTCTACCACGTTATCTACTGTCTGTGTTTTGTGACCAGTTTATTTTTTTTGTCCAATCCTCTAAATATTGTCAGGGTGTTAGTCCATCAAACATCTTGGCAATGACTTTCACTACAGCTGCTGCTTCTGAAATGAGAGATCGTATTGGTGCAGTGGCTGGAAAGGCTAGGGCTAAAGAACTTACAATCAGCACATTCCATTCATTCTCTTTGCAGCTATGTCGTTCACATGCAGAGAAGTATGCCCAACCTCATGTTATTTAATGCCTTTTGAGCCTTTCAAACTCATTGAATGTATTTGCTTTTGGATTCTCTTTTGTTGCAAAATATATGAATCCTTAAATCTTTATATTTTCTATATTCATGCCTTTTGAAATACCTGGCTGAATTTCCAGTTGGCATTTTTAATGTTTTCTAGTAGCTGAAAGCGGGAAAACTTATAACCATTGAGCGTTTGAATTGTGTTTAACTTTGATAGACTTTAATTATTAAAAAGAATCTGTAAGGGCCTGGAACACACACAAGTATGTGTGTTTTCTGAGAGATAGCTCTTTTCACACTGATTTGATTCTCTTTCAGAGGACTACTGGGATTAGAGGCAATGATGTAGAATGAAGGACAAAAATTGTGGTTGAGGCAGAAATGAACTAAATGTTACTTCATCAAATTTCTTTTGACCTTTTTTTTTTTTGGTCTTAGTTACAGAGTCCTTGTGAATGATATTTGTTGCATCTACGTTGTAGGTTAGAGCGCACATCAGAGTTTCTAATATATGGACATGGGCAACAAAGAAGAGCAATCGTTGAGGCAGTGAGGTTACTAGATAATTCAAAAAGTGGAAAAAAGTATGATTCTTGCAAGTCCACTGGAATTGAAAATTCTAATGGTATGAGACATCCAGGATATTTTAAGGATAGATCAAAGAAATGGCAGAAGTTTGTGACTCAGGTTAGTTGTTTGTAAAATATCTTCATTTTCATTTTTCAAAATTTATCCAATTTTTCTGGTGCAAAGAGTTTGCATTACATCAACATATGTTCTACTTTGTTCTTCTGTCATCTAATTTTTTGATGCACTTGGTCAAGGCTTGAGGAGAAAGGGAAGTTGAGCCTTGGAACTTGAGCTTTCATTGGAGGGATACAAACCACTAGGCCAAGCCTATTTTGACATCATTTATCTATAGTTTGATATGGTCAACTTGCTGTTTTCGACTCGTATAGAATCTGTCCCTATTTGGTAGAGTAGAGTTAGTTTAATTTCTCTTGAAGGGAGGATTGTTTCCCTTTTGTTTATCACAAGAATATTCTTTTATGTGACAATGATTCATCATCTTAGAATTGTCAAAATCATGAACTTTACCCGTATATATATTTTTTGTGTTCTTATAACTCTTCTGCTTTTGTTATGTGGAAATAGCAAAATGCTTCTTTTTTTTCTTTTTTGAATTTAAACCTTATTAGTCATTCTTTCAGGCAAAAGCTTCCGGAAAGACTCCTGAAGAGTACCGTAAAATGGGTGATGAAATAGGAGTAAGCTGATAAAATGTTGTTCCGTAAATTCTTTTTCACTTTTGCTTCTGTTCTTCTGATTCTTGCCTCTGCATCTGAATCAGGCTGAAGTTCTCGGAAATTATAATGACATATTAAGATCGTGCAATGCTTTAGATTATCATGACCTAATCAGTTGCTCAGTGAAGCTCCTCACTCAATATCCTGAAGGTTCATGCACTATACTACTCGTAGTCATTTGTGCAACTATCTATATTATTCATTTGCTGACAACTATTTGCTTGATCAAATTTTAAGTGTTCAAGCAGTGCCAGGATTCATGGAAAGCCATCATAGTAGATGAATTTCAGGATACCAGTGCAATGCAATACGGTCTTCTGCAGATTCTTGCATCCCATCATCACATAACAATTGTTGGTGATGATGACCAGGTTTACCTCTTTATCTTCTATTCCTCCATTTATAGGAATTTGACTTCTTTTTGTCCTCTTTCCCGATTGGTGCTCTAAGCTTATATTTTCCAAGTTTCTTTCCCAACTATTCTAAACCAAAGGATTCTATGTTGCTGCAGTCTATTTTCAGCTTCAATGGAGCTGACATTTCTGGTTTTGATTCATTTTGCAAAGATTTTCCAAACTACAAAGAGGTCTGATCTGCTTTTCACCACCTATGTTTCCTAATTTTCATTACAAAATGGAGTATGTTAATTTACATCATTATAATGGTTCTGATTCCTGAATTTTTCATACATTAATCATTCAGATAAGACTTATCAGAAACTATCGATCCACACGATGTATCGTTGAGGCTGCATCATGTCTTATACAAAATAACACAAAACGATGTCTGTCAAAGAATTTTCTTTCAGCAAATTCCTATGGCTCCAAGGTAAGTTAATTGTGCCATTTTCTCCATATCTTTACTTTTTCCAATTTATTTCTAGCCAATAACCTTTCCTTTTCTTTGTGGTTTGATCATTAAAATATAGATCACAATCAAGGAATGCTACAATGAGGATGCACAATGTGCCTTTGTTGTTGACAAGATCTTGGAAACTGCAGCTAACAGTGCAGTTGGTACTTCCTCCTATGGAAGTATTGCAATTCTTTACCGGAGGCAGGTCAAGCTTACTTTCTGAAGTTTTAATATGCATGAAATACAAATTATAGTCTATAGATATCTACTGAAATATCTTAGATCCAATTTGTTCTATAGGTCTCAGGAAAAGTTTTTCAAACTACATTCCGCAACAGGAAAATACCATTTAATCTTCATGGTGTGGCTTTTTACAGGAAAAAGGTTGCCAGAATGCTCTTCTCTAACATCTATAATAGTTGATTTGTTCCCAAGATGCATGTTGACAAAACACTTGTCTTATGACAGGTAGTTAGAGCTATTATTGCCATGCTTAAAACAGCATTGCCTGCTTGTGATGATAGTTCCTATCGTAAAGTGTTCAAGGCTTTGCTTCCTTTTGAAAAAGAGGAAAAGAAGAGGGTACATTTCAATTTATTTTTAATCATATATTGTAACTGAATATGCATATATGTATGTTTGCTTTGCCAAAATCTCTTTTCTTCAGGCTTACATTACTCAGTGTGGTCTTCCAATATTTGAAAATGTTCCTTTTCATGCTCCCTTTTGCAGGTAATTGACCACATAGAAAAAATTAGCACATGTAGAAAATGCAGCTTCTTATCAGCTGCCTGTGACATCTTTAGCGCAAAGATTTCTGGTACCTTCAAGAGGTTTTCTTAACTATCTTCCCTCAACAATTTTTCCTTATTATATTTCATAAGACTGAACACCGGAAATCCCTCCCTTTAAACATTAAACTTCTTGGTGATAATTGCTTGCAGCACTCTGTTAAGCTGCATATAATTGGTTCTATAATAAAAGAACTGCAGCAATTAGCAGCAATTGAAGAAGATGAAGGGCTGATTTAATAGCAGTTAATGAGATCCACATGGTTATACTGTTTTAAGTAAATTGTTTCCTCCTGGTTTCTGTATATACCAGTTTGGATGCTGGTGCAAGGTTTGGCATTTGAAAAGGAAGTGGGAAAAGCATACGTAAGCAAATATCTGGACCCGGATGAAGTTAATTAGTCAAAAGAAGTATCCACATACTACTTAGTTTGTCTTAACCAAAAGGGCTGTAGCCCGATATTGACATTGGACTCCTTGAAAGTTTCTCCATTTTCACTTGTGGGATTAGGTTCTGACATAACCAATGGTGAAAAGTAAGTATTATTGGAGCTATTGACCTTTTGAAATAAAAGTGAGCAACGGGGCTAGCTAGCCTGCTTTAAACCTGCATGACGCTGAAGATAAGTAGCTAAATAAAAGATAGGGATAGCGTTATGAAAGTTTACTGCTTAAAACCCCATTGTTTAAAAAAATGACAATGTCACTTCTTTCAGTGAATTGAAAATATAGAAAGTCTCTTATGTCTTCTTTTTTTTTTTTTTTTGCCCAATGGACTGCCTGTGTAATCTCTCCGCAACATACTGAAATGTGATTTCTATAATTGATCACAGAATTCAACTTACACAAGGTCGTAAAGTGCTACTGACATTGGAAATGATATCAAAACTTGTCCACCGGGTAAGTTTATCAGTTATATTATCTTAATTGGTTACTTGAATATTTTATTGAAATTTTTATTCCCATTTGAAGGAATTTTCATTTTTAAGCAAGTGGTGATCACGGAGGCATAATCAACTGCATCTTGTGGTCATTTAACATTGACCTGTTGAAAGCACCTTTCATTTCCAGCGTGTTTGATGCTTGTCCCAGATAGACTCAAGTACTTCTGTGAAGAAGTTCAATACTAGCTATTTTGTTCAAAATCCATTATTAAACTCATTTTCTTCAAAGATAAAGTCATAGACCAGTCAAGATTTACTTTCCAAAGAAGTTAATCTATTGTTATTTTGCAGGAACAATCAATTTCAGCTGTCATAACTTCAGTATCAAACATTATACCTCAGGTTCACCCGTCTTTAAACCATTGCAAGTAATTTGGGATAAGATTATTACACTATTTGTCTGAAAGATAGTTTTCTTAAGTGTGCAAGGCGCACTCTAGGTGCTAGACCTCTTATATTGCCTCAGGCACAATGTGCAAAAAAAGTGCTCACCTGAGTGAAGTAACGTGCAATATGTATCCACACACACACACACCACATATATATATATAAAATAATAAGCTTAAGATATAAAATTTTCAATCAAATATCGAGTAGAGTTTGATATTGTCCCTTTTTTTACTATTAAAGGTACAGTTATGAAAAAAATTAAAAATAAAAGGAAATGAAAAGAGATCTTCAACTGGGTAAGCTCTTTTTGTGCCTACCCCCTATCAAAAAAGCATGCCTAGGTGCACCACGGAATATAGCAGTCTGAGGCATGCCTGCGCCCTCACCTGAAGGGGTCTGAGGCATTTTTGTCTGGGGTGGTGCCTTGACGACACTTATTATTGTATAGGCTAAATTAAATTACAATGTCATCAACTGAAGACTGAAGAATGCTTCCCTGCCCACCATTTATTTTAGCACAAACGCATCCAAGCTTGGCCTTGTTCCCTATTATATCTCTTTCAGATTGGGTTAAGTTTCTTAAAAAATGTCTCCATATGACCTCTTGCTATATTATCATCTTGCTTTTTTAACTTTTAGTCACATTCCTTTTTAATCATCATTTTTCTTTCTGGCTCTTTGTGCTGTTCATGTTTCTATTTAATTCATGAGAGAGTTTTACCTCTGAAGATTGTCATATAAGCGAAACTGATATGGCTTTACTCTTTAATGTTACTGACATTTCAATCATTTGTGATTTGGCCTTAACTTTCAGAAATACCTTCTTGAACAACGTGCTGTCATAGACGTTGATGGAGGAAAACTACTCAATGAGGACAATGATGTTAGATCTGTAAGTTTGGAGTTTCCATGCTGATGCTACAACTTATATTAAAACTTCCATTTGTTATGATATTAATCTGTATTTGTTGGTTGGTCAGGACGTAGCTTTTAGTATTATTTTTTTTTCACTTTCAGGCTGTTTTTACTCTTATATTTTGTTGCTATGGTCACTTATTTGCTAGTAATGTTAATTGTCTATATATGGACTGTGGTGCTTTGGTTGGATAACATCTGAAGAGTGAAGATAGTGCTATTTTACTTTGGTTGTTTTTGTTGTATCAACTGGTCCAGTGTTCTGTGTTTAGAATCTTATTCACCTTCAGATCATTTATCACCAAGCTGCAGACTTGTTCAGCTTATTACTCACGTCTATAATTTCCACCCACTTTCTTCTTTTGAATGCTATAATTACATTCATTTATCAATTCAGAGAATACATATTTCATTGATCCCCCTTGCAGGTTCTCCAGTACCTACTTGATGATGTTTCTGATTTCCTGTCTACACACTTTACTGATAGAGAAGAGAAGAGAGAGATTGGAAAAGAAAAGGGCTGTGTCAGTTTACTAAATTCTTTCATTGACTACATAACAGAGCGTGAGAGAGAAAATTTTCGTTCTCGAAGACATGACAATGAAAATTCCGTTACCTTGACTACCATTCATCAAGTTATCACCTCAGCAAACATTTTTCTATTTTATTTTGATGAGTCTTAGATTAATGTCCTTTCCTGAGCCTTCTCTTTAACTTTCTATATTTTGTCTGCAGTCAAAAGGCTTAGAATGGGATATGGTCTTCATTGTGAAGGTATATTGCTATGTTAATTTGTTAATGCCACTTGACCCTAAAAGAACTGCTACAACTATACAACTATTCTATTCACAATGACATGAAGCCATGAAAATTTATGATATCGCTTTCACTTTATCATTATCTGTTTCTAATAGATGATGCTGTACACAGGCAAATGAAACAGAGATTCCTTTGTCAAATGAATTCAACGGCACTGCTACTGAAAATGGGACATTAGTTGAGGTATGCTTTTGGGATAATGTCCTGTACTGCCCTTATAATATTAAAAAATGTTCATTATGATATTTGTATTAAAAAATGTTTAATTTGATACACATACTCTCAATCCCTGTGTCAATCAGCCCAAAGCATTAGCCTAGCTGATGGAAGATGCTGATGTGGCTATTAACCAATAAAAATTGAACACGTATATATATTATACATGTGGATGACACTCATGTAATGATCACTTGTCATATTTTTTAAAAAATAAATAATAAAAAAACTATCTTTTAAAAATTCTAACAAATTCAAAATTAAAAAATACGAAAATTCCAAAATTATGTTTTTTAAATTAAAATTAAATCTTTTTGTAAATCTTTACTAATTTTCAATAAAATATATTTAGGAGGAACGACGCCTTTTATATGTCGCAATGACCCGTGCTCGTCAAAAGCTTTTCATTCTCTATGTTACAATGGATTCGAATTGGCAGGTTTGAATTACATGAAACCTGAGAAATATGGTGTTTAATATTGTCATTTTGAGGTAACAGTGTGGCTTTTTCAGATGCTTCAACCTTCACGGTTTCTTAAAGAAATTCCAGATCATCTTCGAGAAAGTCAGGTAAGGACAGCTAACAGAAATGGTACACAGGTCTTTAACCCAATAATCTGTTGGCTCAGCCTTCTGACATTGGTTCTCCTTTATGCCATGTAGTTCATTTATATCACAGTAGCACATAATATGTATCAGGTACTGGAGTGATTATTTAACGTCCAAGTTTAAAATTGTCTGTCCTCTTCATGGAATTTCCAATATGAAAATGAATTTAATTTTTTTATTTCAATTCTTAGAATAAACAAACTGTGCATGTCTAATTTGTGTACCACTAGGATCATTATCCAGATTGTGTACCATTTGAGCTTGTTAACACAAGGTTCCATTTTTCTTTTCAATTGCATATACTTTTTGGTATAACCTCTTAAAGCATTGAGTGATAAATAGCTAAATAAGGATTAAGTAGGCATTGGACCTTGCACTTTAAGAAGTGAAGAATTATTTGTTACTGAAAGCTTCCCATTATTAACAAAGCATAATGCTGTTTTCCCATAATAATTATGAAATCATTTGACTTTGACCTGAATTTTTCTCTTTAATATTATTAGTTTCCATTCCAGAGTGTTTTTTGAGTTGATGATGTGCACTTTGAATCCACATTTATAATGGATATGTCATGTAGGCTGACGCAAGCATGAATGATTTAAAAACCACACATCAAGTCATTCCAAATGAAACTGCACAGTTTACCACTGATCTGCCAAGCGAAAAGCAATCACGCGAAGCAGACATGGTGCAAAACAATTTCCTTGATGCTCAAAGTAGTGCAGCCTCAAAAGAGCCTATAGAATCAGTTGAGGCATGCAACGGAAGTAGTTTTTTAAGAAGGTATTCCTTCAAACTTTAATGGTAGAGTAATTTTATTTCTCAATTTAGCAATCCTATATCAGGTTGTACATTTTCTTTGTCATTCTCTTGTAGGTTCAGTGTGGAGGAGAGATCAATTGTTTCCCACTTATTCCATCAATGGGCCAAGAAGCAAGCCTTTCAAGAGCCTAGGAGGTTGCTTGACAAGGTAATCTTTGTTCTGAGAGGAAGGATGGAGAGGCTCCTTTGTTTTCTACAACGTTCCTTTTAACATTTTCAATCCATCAGTCATCACTCATACATAAATTGTCCCTTGTCTCTTTTTTCCCCTTATTTGTTTGACAAGGTAATCTTTGTTCTGAGAGGAAGGATGGAGATGCTCCTTTGTTTTCTACAACGTTCCTTTTAACATTTTCAATCCATCAGTCATCACTCATACATAAATTGCCCCTTGTCTCTTTTTTCCCCTTATTTGTTTGGCTGGGAGAGGGGGGATGGGAGGCTCAGATGTTAGTAATCTAAGAAACGGCTATGCCTTTTAACCTAATCTGTCTTTTAGTTTTCTACTAATAGCAAACTGACCCATTTCTGTTTTACTTTACACCTGCCACGTCTGAACTGCATACAACGTGCATAACTGTTATACGGTTTTTTAACCACCTCTTTTCTTTGACATTTACTTGCAGGTTCGCTTTGTAATCGATGAGCGTCTGAGAGTCAAAAATTATAAGCACAAGGTCAGCCCGGTTCTCCATTAGCGATAGCCTGTTAATGCTCCTTTAGCATAATGTTTATATTAATCTAACATGTACTTCAAATGTTATAGCGAACAAAGTCTCTTCTGATTGTGAGCCAAAAAAAAAAAAAGAAACATTTCAGACATGTTTTAAAATCCTATACAAGGTGTTAAATAAATCATTAACTGACAGTCCAACCTTGGCACTATGGTATTTTGTCTCCTTATGGGGAACTTTAATGGTGGATCCTGCCTTATTTACCTCATGTAAGAGGGCAAAGATATGTCCTTGGCCAGATATGGCCCCTGCCAAAGAGGCTCCAGGAGGATCAGCTTGTATTTGACACAACCTTTTAGCAATTAGGCTTTCATGTATGTGGAAGATAAATATTCTTCTAACAGTAACATATGATGTACCAGGAAGTTCTGCATGCATTAAGGCCATGTTTGAGCTGTGAGGAAGCATTTCACTACGCAGAATATGTAAGTACATGTTGCTGTTCTCAAATATCAACAGTTGGACTTAGTATTTAAAAGAGCAAAAGATGTCATTGGCATCTATAATGGTTGAATTTTCTTGCGACCTTTCTTATTCTTCACAAGTTAATTGAAGTTTTCGTAACGACTATTCCTTTTGATACATTACATAAGTAATTAACATTGCAAGTACTGAGATTTGTTCATGATGGTCCATCCTTTTATAGGTAGTGAAGTGGGAGCAAATTCCTGCTGATAGACGTGCTCACTTGATGCGGGAGAAACAGGTTTGGCCTTTTTTCAGATTCTAGGTTTTTATTGTAGTTTTCTTGCTTCTGCTCAAGATAGAGAACATATTTGCAAAATTTGATGCCTTTGTTCTTTCTTTTCTGCTGAAAAGCTACTTTTTTTTTCTTCCAGGAGCATTTCCAGAAACTAAGGATGGAGAATTCGATGGGTTCATCAGCGGCAACATCGAAACAGGTTTGTCAAAAATCTTGCATTTTATTCAAAGGGGTTCCTGATTCAACAGCCTTCTCCAATTAACCATAATAGCATTTGATGATGATTTCTAAGACTTCATTATCCGTTCAAGATTTTTATAATCAATTATCACGTGAAACCTTGCAACTTCATATACCCACATGAAGAGGCATATGAAAATTGAGTTAAATCCTTGGACTATGAAATGTATAATCACACATCTGAACAGTCATTTCTATTTCTTTTCTAATGTAGATTGCCTATCTGCAAAGTTTGGGCTGCACTGTCATTCCTACTTCAAGACTGCATGCTTCTCGTCTGATTGAACAGTACAAATCGCTGTGACTTCACAACAAAAACACCCAGATCCAGTTACATGGATGGTATATTTTTCCAATAACCAGGTGAGTTGTTTATGTTAACCATAAATTTCGTTATGAATAGAAAATTATGTATTGACCTTATTAATTTAGATCTGAAGTAGTTCGTAACTCCCATAGCTTGGACCATAATTGACCAAAGTTGGATTCATCCCACGCTAATGAATACCCAGTTTAAATCACATATCACAAACCTCAACAATGATATGATTGGAAGCAGCTAATCATCCTATGATAGAAATGTCAACGGTTAGGGCATGAGTAGGGTAAAACATTGCCTATATCCATCCTTGAATTTTTATATTTGTTCGGTGTCTATGTCCAATAAATATTTTAAATTTATTTTTATTTTTATTTTTATTGATATTTAATGGATATGAATAATCCTCGTACCCTAAACTTTAAAAAAAAAATTAAAAATTTTTTTAACTTTTTTTTTTAATTTTTATCTTGTATGTCTAGATAATTTTTTTATAAATATATATTAATATATATATTTTATAATAAAAATATATTAATTTTAATTAATCTAAAATAATAATTTATATTATTTAATAAAAAATTTATATATTTACTAAATATATATAAAGTACGAGTATAGGATAAGTATTATATTATTTGTTTTTATTTTTATATCTAATAAAAATTTAAAATTATATCAATTTCTATTTTTATACTCAAAATATAATATTCATGTTCATTTTTATTAATTTAAAAAATTAAGTTTTTCGTTGGCTATGAATAAAATTGACATATCTAATCAGATTGTAAAACGAGGATAGCTTGTAAAATTAGGATGGATGTTTCTCATTTCAAAAGCAGTAACAAATATAATTCCTTCGCAGCAAGCTCATCATGTGCTTGGGATGTTTGCATTTACAAAGATTGTTTTTGTCACAAACAGATGTGAACAAGAAGAATGAGAGAGTAACAATGCACCTCTAATCAAGTGGGTAAACCCTCTTACGATTAATGTCGTTGAAGAAATCAGCTGGCAGAATCGAACCTATGACTTCATCGCCATCACTGAGCGAAGCAATCTCTTTATTTTCACTTCAATTTTAGAACTAAGGAAAATTTTGGGCAATTCATTATTGAGTGATGCTAAAATCATAGCTTGTGAATCTGCTTAACTATGAGTTGGATTTGAAAGAATGCTAATTTTTTTAATTAAGAATCGCGTGATGAAATTGGAAAAAAATCTTAGGACAACTTCCTACAGAGCTTTTTAATTAAAGGCTATGGATGAGAATAACATTTCCTTTCTGATAATGACTGATTTTACATAAATGGAGGACTACTCTTCGATGGAATATGATACCAGATTAGCACTCGAATTAACATGTCATATTGTGGTTTGATTTCCCTTTGGCTATCGACAAGTTTGATGTTCTTAGATTTTTATCTTGGGCAAGACCAAGACAAGACCAATACAACACTGAACATCTAGTTTTATATCCGTTTAGCTCCATCAGTTATTTGTTCATATCGCAAGAATCTAATGAAAACAAAAAGGGACATAAAAAGTTCTCTTTCTTATTTTGTTGGTACTTCTTGTCTACCTTCATTTGTACGATGGCCTCAGGACCCAGATTCTTTTGAACATTTTTCCGTCTTCTTTTTTTGATTCATAAAAAGGTGTTAATTAAACATGTTTCAAGAATCCGTTGTAGTCTAGTTGGTTAGGATATTCGGCTCTCACCCGAAAGACCCGGGTTCAAGTCCCGGCAACGGAATAATTTTTCGCTTTCGTTCCTCCAGGTTTTTCTTGCAACTTATGATAACGAGATTCTGTTTAATTTCTTAAACCTGATGCTCCTGTCAGCGCTACACGACTAGGTACTGCCACATATGCTTTGGCTTTACGTTAAAGTGGCTGTAATTTGGTTTTGCTGCTCCTGTAAATTGAAAAAACATTCAAAACTTTTTTTCCACTTTGTAGATAAGGCTCAAACTCATTGAAATCTGCTTTCCATGTCGGAGTACGGAAGGGTGATCTCCTGTCCTTTCATGGAATTGCCATCCACTAAACTTGCATGCTGCTCATGAACATGAAGAATGATTGCTGTCTTCGCCTAAATGATGAGTACATGCTTTGCCCAATTGCCTATTTAACTGGGTTTTATCTACCATGTTCTATCCTTTTCCCTCTTAATAGACTCTTTTACTGACTTAAATGCAAAAGAGAGCTATGAATCAAACAAAGGAATCGAATCACATACATCTACCATCTGATTGTTTCAGTGATGGGAAGAGAATACAGTGTCAACCTGAAACCAAAAAACTTTTTTTTTTTTGGGGTAGGAGAAAGAAAGTGATTGAATATATTATGATAATAGGGCCGCAAAAGCATTCAAATTTTTGTGTTGAACTAATTGGAGATGGGTCCAATTTGAGAGGCAACTTGGTTGGGAAATGGGGTTACCTCATGTGAGGTGGTCCGAGCATGAGTCGATCATTGTGCCCACACGGATTGAGCCAGTTAAAGCTCAAGTTTACAAGTTGAACTTTGTAGATCTGGGCCCAATAATAACACTTGAGAGTTTTCTTCACTGAATGGCCCAGACAAAAGGAAAATACTCTGTTTGTGGAACCAGCTCTGTATGTGTCCTGGATTCTAAACAGGTCCACATTAAGTTAGGTCCCTGGCTAATCAATTCCACTACGAAGGGCTTGCCATGTCCACTGCAAGCTGAAAACCTGAAATCAAGCGTTGTTTGCCCCTCCGACTTGTTTTCGTTTTAGGATACAAGTATGACATATTTATTTTAGAATGTTTCATTTACTAAGGCAAAAGTTAGTTTATGATTGTAATATTTCCTCACCCTCTCCCTCTCTCCCACCAAAAAAAGGAATGGAAGATCATGAAAGAAAGAGATCTCACATCACATGTCAAGATCATGTCATTTTCGTGAAAGGGATTAAAATTAGATATCATAAATCCAAAAATGTGGAAGTCAAAAGTTGTTATCCCCCATTACAGAACAACACAAGCAAAAAGGAACTTTTCCCGAAGCAACTAGCCACTATACTACATATACCCATTAGCCGTTATCATGGATTGAAACAGAGAGCTCGGATGGTAATTACTATTTGGCTTGCACTGTTTACGTCTCCAAGTGTCCTATGTGGCTTGGCCTGTTAAAGTTACTACCACCAGCTCCCCCATCTATCAGCCAGCCACTCTTCATTTCTTAGTTAATATCCCTCATTTCTTTTTGGTGCGACTGAAGTGGAGCAGAGACTGCAGTTGTTTGAAGTTTGTATATCTCCTTTGCTTATGTTCCCTATTTATTGGAACTTGGAAGATGTCTCCAAAAGAAACGCAGAAAATAAAGAAAAGACTAAGCCCTTTCCATACTTTCAATTTCAAATTAGATATGGAATTGCTCCATTCAGACTTTATTGGCAATTACAACAGGTTGATTGTTTTATGACTCAAGCTTAGCAATGAAAATATTGACATATTCATGAAAATTTTTATATGACTCTTTGACAGGATATCAGTTGTTTTTTTTTTAATTAAAATTGTCAAGATTTAAAACTGATCACTTCACAGACAATTCATGCCCTGATATCCATTATTTCAATATCCAAAAACAAAGTTTGTGGCTTAAACTTTGTTTCTAGTTTCCTCTATTTGGTAGGCATGAAGACATGAAACATAGCATGAGTCAAACAAATTAATTTAGTTGAAAGGGCGGTGTTGTGATTCAGGCATGTTAGTGCTTTTTTTTTTCTCTTTTTTTTTTTGTTGTGTGTGTATGTGTAAATTCGAACACTTGGACACATGTGCACCCATATGATACTGTCACAAGTGGCCTTATATCACAATCAATCAATCACCCCCCTTGTAAATACCGACTTACATCCACCAAATCTTGATGCAAATCATTAATCAACAACTTACAACTCCAAATTTGCTTAGAAAAAAAAGCTTAAAACTTCATATATATCCATAATGGAGAAGAAGATGCAACTTAACATTCTCCATTTGACCTTCTTCCTTCTCTTCTTATTTGCCGCATTTGGTATAGCTGGTGCTCGTGGTGATAGGAAACACCTGACCTCTCTCGAAATGTCTATGGAGCCTAATGCCCCAAGCGGGGGCTCCAATGGTGCTACTGGTTCAGGCCACGGGCCTAACTGGGACTATAGTTGGGGATTGGGTTCAAGCCCTGGAAGTGGATGGGGTTATGGTTCAGGCTCGGCCCGGTGACCTAATGGGTTTGGGTGGGGTTATGGATTTGGTTTTGGGTCTGGGACTGGGTCAGGTTCCGGGCATGGTTATGGGACTGGAGGTGGTGGTGCTCATGGTGGTGGCTACGGGGCTGGAAATGGACAAGGCAATTCTGGTGGCAGCGGCTCTGGAAGATGGACTGGTGGTTCAAGCAGGATGGTAACGGCTGGCCCTCGAGTAACAGAAGCAATCATGGTTAAAGGAAGTTACAGGCTTGTTTGCCAGGAGAGTTCGTAGCATAAAATACATGGTGTGCAAGTAAGATATAATAATAATACAGTTTGAGTTCGCTGCGTACATTATTACAATGTTAGTTTTATAAGTTAAAACTATCATAAAGGGGCTGCTTTTGGAAACAATTCACTGCTGCAGTTGTAGAATACATGGCAAAATTAAGAGAATTTCAGGCAATATTCAGTAGCTTTAGGAATCCTGAGAGAAAGAAAAGTGAAGCATCTGGGCTGGCAAGTGAAATGAGTCAATAGTTTGTTTTATTCTGCACATATACATTCTTCAGTGTCTATTCCCTGATAACATAGAACATAGATCAGTGGGTTCACTCCATACCATTATCCATGGAAGCAGATAATAAAACATAGCTATATATCCTCCCTTATGTTTACCTTTCGGGTATATGAAATTTCAGATGTTGACTCCAACACAAGTAACGACTCAAAATCATAAGCATTTTGAGTTTAATGCAATTATATATATATATATATATATATTTCATGCATGGTCAAACTACACCTCGAGGGAAAGGATCAAAGCCCCACTGGCTGCCACCCTCAAATTGCACATTTAATTGTTTAGTTGTATAAAAAAAAAATAATAATATGTAGACAGAAATTTGCGCAAGTGACTAAATTTTAAAATTTAGATATAAAATATTCAAATTCAAACTTTACATTTTTATGTTAATAGACTATTTATAAGTATAAAATATTTTAAAAGATTCATAAATTTTATTTATGGATTGATGATTTGTTTTGATTTTAAAAAAATTAACTTTTTTTATTCTAAACTTTTTTCAATTCCCAAAAAAAAAAGTAATAAGATGATAAAATTATATAAAAAATAAAATGAAAAATATGAAGCTGTCAGTCTAATTAAGTGTTCAATTTAACCAAGAATATCAAAAATAAGCATAGAAAGTGAAAAAAAAATTATTGAAATTATTTAGAGGAGAAATTCTATTATAAAAAAAATGTTGGGATCAGGATTTGACTTGCGAATTTTGTGGATGCCATTATAAAATGCAAACTTTTCGGTGGTGTCGTTAAAACATTTATTCTGTCTTGTCTTGTCTTCAGTTCCGAACTGAAAAAACAAAAACAAAGGTCCTCTTGCCTTTCTCTCTTTCACTCAACAACAAGAACAAAAACATTGTTATAGATTTTATTTGCCTTTTCTGTCAGAATCCGGTCCCATTCCTCCACCAACGGACCGGCCCGATTTGGTCGAACCCACAGTCATGAATCCTGAATAGTAAGCTTCCTTATCGCTGATCACCCTCCCTTTTTTTGTTTTCGATAATATCTTTTTACTCCAATTATTTTTTGCTGTTTGCTTAAGATCCATGATGCTTTTGTTCTTTGCCATGATGGGTTCCTTTATAAAGCTTCTTTTTCTATGGATCTGTTTTGTAGCTTTTTAATTATGGGTTTTATTAGTAAATTTCTTTTTAAATTCTATTTCTGATTTTCTTTTGGGTACTATTTTGCTTAGATCTGTATCAATTATGCTATTAAAGGAAGTGGGTATCTATTACTTATGGTAAATTCTACAGCTTTTTGATCAAAAGTTATTATTTCATCAGAATTTAATCTATTTTAATTTAAAAAAAAAAAAAAACTGAAATGTGGGTGTTGATTGTTGAATTCTGATCAAGAATTTGGAGCAAATATATGTTTGCTTTTTGTATGTTTTTGTCCTTATTAAATAATAACTTTAATAGATTTCATTTGTGTTATGATTCTATGCGTCATGGTAACTGTGCTTCTGCCTTTTTTTCATTGAATGTAGATATTGGGTAAGGCTTAGATTGTGCCTAATGTGGTCTTTGAATGTTGGAGGGAATGTTATTGTGACTATGTTCAGAATTTTCATGTTAGCATATATTGATTGATTTTGTTGGAAAAATAAAGAGTTTTTTTAGGTTTGTTATGGGTATTATTTTGAGATGTTGTTTAGTTGAAATGTTAGGTTTTTAAATTTTTTGTGCAGTGACTATTTGTTCAAGCTTTTGCTGATTGGAGACTCCGGTGTTGGCAAATCATGTCTTCTCCTGAGATTTGCTGTAAGCTTCCACTGTAACAATTATTTAATTTCCCAGTTTTTCTTCTAATTTATGTTTCTTATCCTTTATCTGAAAATTGCCAATGGTAGTCCTTTATCAAATTGCTTGTATTGATTAAGCATAAAATCTCTATGATCTTTGTAATCTGACTACATATTTATCACTCCAATGCAGGATGATTCGTATCTGGACAGTCATATAAGCACAATTGGCGTGGACTTTGTGAGCATTTCTGACTTGCAGGTTAAAGCAAGTGTCTAATTATTTGAATTTCGTGACTCATATGTTTGTTTTTTGTTCTACAGAAAATACGCACAGTGGAGCAAGATGGAAAGACTATAAAACTTCAAATTGTGAGAATCTTTCCCTTATTTATTTGTTTTATTTCAGTTCATTGAATTAAACTAGCAGATGATATTTATTTATTTGATAGCAATACAAGTCGTGTTGATCAAACATCTTCCCTTCTTGGCTGTTGAGTCTCATGGCCCGGGTCTAGTTTGATTCCTTGTTTTCTTGAAATTATTATTATTTTATATTGTTGTAATATGCACTTTTTATTTTTCTGGGTTGAACATTTTTCCCTGGTAGTCATTTCCTATACATGTTTCTTGCTGACCCATAAGCCCTTATGGAGAATTTTTTATTGTGATTATGGCTTTATTTTTTAAATATCAAAGATTGATTTTGCTTAGTCTTGGGTGTGTGTTCATTTTGTTCTTTACCATATTGTCTTCCATTCAATTTTTTTGTTGGTATCTTCTATTTTCCTGTGCTAATCTAGCTACTGAAGCATATCTATATCTGCTTTCTTTTCCCTCTGAAACATTCAGTGGGATACTGCAGGGCAAGAACGGTTCAGGACAATCACTAGCAGCTACTACCGTGGGGCACATGGCATTATAGTAAGTTTCTCTCCATGTGTGTACATACCTTATTTCTTCACCATTGTCCTCTTTTTGGTACGCTTTTTGCATGTTATGGACAAGTTTGTTTGTTCCACACCTGGCAGATGGTTTATGATGTAACTGACCAAGAGAGCTTCAACAATGTTAAACAATGGTTGAATGAAATTGATCGTTATGCGAGTGAGAATGTGAACAAGCTTCTGGTTGGAAACAAGTGTGACCTTACTACTAAAAAGGTTGTTTCTTACGAAACAGCCAAGGTAAAAGTGATTCAACTATCTGCTGTTTATTTTCATGAACTATTGAAAACTTAAACAGTAACATTGTTTATGATCTGGAAATAGGCATTTGCAGATGAAATTGGTATTCCATTTATGGAGACTAGTGCAAAAAATGCTACTAATGTTGAACAGGCTTTCATGGCAATGGCAGCTGATATTAAGAACTGGTACTTCTTTTGCCTGTAAAATTCTGATCCATTATAAAATTTTTATATTAAATGTCCTGACTAGCCGTCAGGAATATGACATTAAGTAGTATTTCTGTATTGGACTCGTTAAAAGAAACAGATTCAATTAGGGTTACTCTCATCTCATCTGCAGAAACATCTAATCCTTCCAACTGTCATTCCCATTTATTTTTTGTCCTTTTACTGTAGGATGGCAAGTCAGCCAGCATCCAATAATGCAAGACCACCGATGGTGCAGATACGAGGACAACCTGTTAACCAGAAGAGTGGTTGCTGCTCTTCTTAACTGATTTTAGCTATTGCCTGCAAATTAAGTTAATTGTGCATGTTAGAATAGCTTTCTTAATTGTGCGCTCAAGAAAGGAAAACTACGCTACCATGTAGAATTATATATTTATTTGCCTTTTCAGTTGTTTGTAAGCTGTTATGAGATTTACTTCTTTTACAGATTATTATTAATGGCCTGTACAAATTGTGTTGCTTGATAATAGTAATGTCAATTTTATTATTTGTTGATTTTTCCATGGAAGCCGTACCATGGCTTTCTTTAATAGCAGTCATAAATTCATGTATGTATTTGAACCATTGTTTGGATGGATGCTTTCCCAGGGTTAATGGCATGAAAGAAAAATTAAGTAAAACTCAAAATCATGGTGACCTTGAATCACCAATTGATCAAATGTCTGCTTTGACAAGAGGTAGTTTTTTTTTTTTTTTTTTTTGGCAGAGCTGGAAAATTTGTTTCAAACTGGCTTGGAACTGTAGCTCTATAGATTATTGATGAAATAAATATTGTGTGAATTTAGTTCTGATTCTGCTCAGGTTGGTGCCAAAATGAAAAAATCAACATCACAAGACAAATTTTCTTTTGTTTTTTCAAATCACTCTAATGGATTTTTGAGATGGCAGACTTGTATTTTTGGATGATTGAGGGGGGCCGATCTTAAGCTCCAAAAGATCTTTTTCTGATGATGAAACACCAGGGCCTGCTCGAAACGCGCCGTGCTGAACCAACCTTGGTGTAGGTATACCAGAGGGATGGGCAGCTGGTGTGCAGACAGCTATATTTCCAAGGGCTTTAGCCATGTAACGCGGTCCTGAATAATTCATTGCATGCAGAAATGGCAGAGACGGCGTCATTTTAGCTTCTATTTCGCCTTGTCCATTGGGAGCTAGTCCTGCCTGTTAAAACATCAATTGATGAAGTTTCTAATATGTGGTTTGGCATTTTCAGAGGAAAATGAATTGCAAATAGTCCCTTACCGTGGTTTGAACCCGGTGATAATAAGTTGGAAAACTATGAGATGCGGTCAGCGACATGACTGGACGATCATCCAAGCAAAGATGTGGAAATCGGTTCACAACCTGAGATGAATTTCTTATAGTTTCTTCTGTGGGGGAACTCGGAGGACTTGTTTTCTGTTAATAAAAACCATGAATTTTGTAGTCATGTACATGAACAAACTAACTATAAATTGTTCTTCTTCTTCTTCATAATCAAAAGTGAGAGAGGGATTAAGAGATTTTACGGATTTGGATTCTTGAAAAGCCATGTCAAATAAGCTTGGCCTGCGTTTCTTCCTATCATTCCGAGCCTGCCTCAGAAAATATTTTTGAGCATGGCTTGCAACTTGTGTTGGGGTCCTAGTTGTAACAAAATTCTTTGAAATTCCTCTCCAATCACCCTTCCCCAGCTTTCTCAAGCCAGCCAAGAAGATTCTATGCTCCTCTTCGGTCCATGGCTTCCCTGAGCAAAAAAACAGAATTCCCAGACATCAGAAACATGGAATAACCCGATAACGTTTTCCCTGATTGGCCGTGTTTCATGAAACCATACTTGTTTATTCAATGGTTAATCAATGGCAGCCGCTTCTTGATAGTGATGATCAAGTATATCACATATCATTCACATATATATATATATATATCTGAGTAAAAAAGAAAGAAATTACATACAAAACAAACAGACTGAAGGGTGAGGATTGACAATAAGAACAACAAAAACATAGAAATTGAGTACCTTTTTTTCTTTCATGGGCAGCTTTGTTTTTCTTAGAATGAATCTGCCCATCAGAAAAATACCCATCATCGACAAACCCATCGTTGTTTTCAGCATGACACTGCAGATTTCCCATGCTAAAGCTTTTCTTCATGAAATTTTCTTGCTTTTGATCCATGGCACCTATGTTCACGCCAAAAAGCTTAACACACCCTCCCTTCCCATTACAAGTTCTCGAATTATGGCCATTATGTCCACAATGAGAACACTTTCTCCCTGTTTCTTTCACCATAATCTCTTTCTTCTGCCTTAAAATTTATCTCCTGGTTGGCACAAAAAACTTGTATTTGCTTTATAACATATATATAACATTGAAAAGTGAAAAACACCCTTGTTTTTCTCTATAAACCAAGCTCTCCTACAAGAATTTATAGCCGATATTTTTTATTTGCCAAAATCCTGAACATGGCAAGATTTGATATCTGTATCAAACAGTCAAAGATATCCAAATTTTTTTTAAAACATTCTTTAAACGGTTGAGATTTAACAAGCTTTATTAAGACTGGGGCAAACTTGATTTTCAAGCTTTTGGATTAAAATTAGATTATTCATCAAATAACCTTTGCTAAAAGCTCGGTACGCGTCCCTTAAAGCTATAATTAACACTTATTACGGTGTAGTTTTTATGGTAGTAAAAAATTGGTAAAGAAATCCAAGTTTGGCTGTTAATGATTAAGTGTGAATTAAATGACAGATAATTTTCCATCTAAAAAAAGTTTGATAATCAAAGCTTAATCAACCTTCTGGATTTATTTTTGTCCAAGAAATCTTTTCTTATCTTACACCAAGTTAAAGTTTAAGGTACAAGAGAGTTTACTCGTCTTTTAACCATTTAAGTTCGAACTCGTAAAAAATTTATTCAAATTAATTTTTTATAAATTCATTAAATTTAATTAAATAAAAATATTGAATAATAATAATAATAATAATAATAATAATAATAATACTTTGAATAATATTTAACGGTGCCAAAAATAGATTAAATCTAGCTATCCACCAAAAGAAAATTCTTACTAAAATTCCGTTGTTTACTATATTAATTAACTTTGATAATCAATTGTGTTTTGGTGAGGAATAGATTCATTAAGATTTCTTGCCAAAAAATGTTTTATTACATTGTGTTTAAATTAAAATAATATCCCATATTAAAAAAAATTATTTCATTCTTTTATATTTTATATATTTTTATTACTTATCAATTTATGTTCGATTGGGAATATTTCAGAAATAAAGTTTTGTACGTATTATATGTAAAAGAGTGCGTTTTTAAATATATTTGATTGTTTTATAAAAAAAAAAATTATAATTTTTCATATTGATAATATGGTCAAGATATATAGATTTTGTTTGATCTTAATTTATTTTTTAATAATTTTAAAGATGCATTTTGCATTATGATTTAATATATTTTAATATTTTCACAAAAATTTGAGTGTTTATAATTAAATAATAGGTATATATATGGATTTAAATATTATTTTTTCTAAAATTATACTATTTGCTAAAAAATTACTGCTCTTAATTGGGGATTATTTTCATACATCGCAAGTTGGAGTTGAAATTTGTCAAAAATTAAAAAAAAAAAAAAAAAGCGAAATTATTCTTTGAAAAAAAACACTAAAAAAGGAAAAAAAAGCTTCGAGAATGGTGCGTGGGTAAGAGCCACTGTCGAAACGCACAAAAACTCACACTTTCGCACACTTTCCTCCATTTCTCCTCAAAGGGTTCAATTCCATTCCAATTTCGAAGCTCCCAATTAGGGTTCTTACTTTGTCAAAGGTCAGTTCATCTTGATCTCCCAATTCTATTGCAATTGAGGTTTTTTTTTTTGGTTAATAGATACTTCAAATTTAAAACTAATTAGAGTTTTTACAAGGTTGGTTTCTGCTTTGCAGGTTCCAGTTGGTTAATTTTAAAGATAAATTGTGGTGGAATAGAGTTGAGAGAAAGCTATGATACTAAACTTAAGCATTAGCTAATAAGAATGCCGGGCATTCCTTTAGTGGCTCGTGAAACCTCCTCGTATGTTCTCTCTGATTAAACCCATATTTAATGTTTCTCTGTTCATCATTGCCAATATGTTATACTAATATTAGTGTTTGGTTTTTGAGTTTTGCTTAATTTCTGGTTATGTCATGGTAGATTTATCATTTGCTATATGATATTCTTTTCAAGGGCATTGTGAGAGTGTCTTGTTCTGGGTCTTATGTTTGGTGATGGTTGATTTGTTGTGGAATTTTTAGTTTGTTGTTGCATTGTAATGAAGTGTGATTTGGACTATGGCTATTTGGATAAGTTCATGAGTAGGGGTTCTCGTTTGTGTTTTGTTTTTCCAGCTCTTCAAGAAGCACAGATCAGATGTGCCGAGAAGATTCCCGCGTGCATTTATCTGCAGAAGAGGAAATTGCTGCTGAGGAGAGTCTATCTATTTATTGCAAGCCTGTAGAACTCTATAACATTCTTCAAAGACGAGCTGTAAGAAATGTAATATTGCTGCTTCTTGTTGAATTGGCCATTTTATGTTTTTATTCAGATTGGCTGTCTTGTTTCTCTTCCAGATATGGTGTCATTTGACATTGCAGACAGTTAATTCTGCTTGCTGCTTTGAATCATCTTTGTTTTCTTTTCATTGGAAGATATTTTCCTTTTATCTCTAACATGTATGTTTGTTGATTTTATTCTACCTATTACTTGTGGCCATCTTTCAATGTTTTTTTAAATTTATTTGCAGCCATCATTTCTTCAAAGATGTTTGCGTTACAAAATTCAGGCAAAACACAAAAGGAGGTAATTTTTTAATCTGGTAATTGGAAGTACTATATATTCTTAAAGGTTATGGTTGCAAGTGCTTATTACAGCAGTTTCTGTTATAGTGGATCAATGGGAGAACTTAAAGGGCATATTGACCTTCATTTGTGCTCTTTGGTGGAAGAAGTATAGGGATTTTGGGGATAAATATTGATGGCTTTTAGGATAGGCAAATCTGTTATGTGTATTCTTATGTTTGACAGTACATATGCTTGCTGGAATTAGCATCAGTTAGGGAGCAATGAGAAGTTTCTTTTGTTACAATAGGTTTAATTCTTATCATTTTGTGTGATTATGAATGAATTTATTGAGTAAAATTTTGATGATGATCATTTGTTAGTTAGTGTTGCTTGTTGAGGTGTGCTGTCTTGCTTGCTGTGGTCAAAATTTTCTATATACAGGTAAATTTGAGTTATTAACTACATTTTCTTTGGTTGATACGTAGAATACAAATGACAGTGTCCATATCCGGGATTGTGAATGAAGATGTACAAACTCAAAATCATTTTCCACTATACATCTTGTTGGCAAGGCTAGTTTCTGATGTTACAGTTGCTGAGGTACGGTGTTTCATGTGTATATATTCAAGCTAAATTCATTAGTCAGTTTATCTTCTTTTGGGTGTTGTTGTACTCTTTTTGTACTTCATTTATGATATATTTACTGTTTGAATCCCACAATGAAGTATTCTGCAGTTTATCGTTTTCGTCGGGCATGTATCTTGTCGAGCTTCACTGGCATTGAAGGCAGTAATCAATCTCAAGCAAATTTTATTCTCCCTGAGATTAATAAGCTAGCTATGGAGGCCAAATCTGGCTCGCTTGCCATTTTACTTGTCAGCTTTCGTATGTATTTCATAGATCCTTTATGTGCAGTTGCATTCATTAGATCCTTTATAATAGCTTAATTTTAGTATGAATTGTAGAAAATTTCTTGAATTTCACTTTATTTTGCATTGTCTTTAATTCAAATTCAATTTATCCTTACAGCAAATGTTGGAGGGTGCTGCCTATGGGGTAGGATACCATTGGAATCACTATATTTGTCATGGGAGAAATCCCCAAACTTGAGTTTGGGACAAAGAGCGGGGATGATATTACCTGTTGAAATGCATTCTTGCTTATTGAAGGTGTGGCATCAGAGCTTACTGGTCCTTTTTTTTTTTTATTCTGGAGTTCTGTAATACCAATTGCTTAGCTACTATTTCTGTGGACATCATTGCCAATGTTGTCTAAGACTAAGTGAAGGGCTTTTCTTGGTTTTTTTTCTGTATTTATGGTTGAGTCATTAATGTATCACTCCTAAGGCAGTGCTCAAATTTGGCTTCTGGGACAATTTTATTTGATGCACTTCTCAAACATAAAATAACATTATTAAAGAATGATTTGGAATCGAACCTTTGGCCTTCGATTCTTTCCTTGGTGTTTTCATTGGGCGTATAGCTGTAACATTATTCAACAATGCCATCTCTCATTCTGAGCTTCAGAATACATCCTAAGCTTTGTTTGAGTTGAATATATAAGTTGAACTCCTCCCATGTACATGTGTGAGAGCTTGAAAGAAAATTTTGACTGCAGTTGAGAAGTTGGTAGAAACAGAGAAATATTTGTACAACAATACCCATGGAATATAGTGGTTGACAGTGTGGTAAGCAAGTAGCATAGGGCTCTATGTTTGTGGGTTGTTGATTGTGTTGCTAAAGCACTCCTTAGTTCAATCAGGTTCCCCTGCGCTTATCTGTTTTATGAGCAGAACTTAACTGGCCACAGCGCTTTGTCATGAGCAGTTTTGCTGCTTCTATTGTTGCTGACTGCTAATGAAATGTCACTTTAGCCATGTATACAACTTGCTTTAGATGCCTTGTTCTAGTCAGTGTAGAAAATGGCAATGAGTGTTCAAGCGGTGATGATTGAAACTTTTATAAATGTCTGAATCACGGTTACTTTTTTTTTATCTGCTGCAGTTGAATTGTTTGAATGAGGACAAATGCATCTTAATCCAAAGTTCCAGCAATTCTTTGTCAATGGTATGTCCTTGAATTCTCATTTTCTTGTTTCATTTAGAATAGTCATTTCTGATTTGTCTTCTAGAAATGATTTACTTATGGTATTTAATTTGACTATTTTTGCTCCAAAAGAACAAACCATTGCAGCTGCAGGTCATCATTTCTGCCGAGGAGGTTGGGGCGAAGGAAAAATCTCCCTATAATTCATACACATGCAGTGGTGTTTCTTCTTCATCTCTGTCTCATATTATTCGGTAATCCTTATAGTAATTATCATTCTTATTACCAAATGTAGTTTTGCTGTTCTAATCAAACCTATTCACCTCTCTATATTCTAAAAATTTGATCATCTTACACAATTTTGCCTGTTGTCGATATGTGTATGAAAATAACCTTGACCTTTCTTTAACTAGCTCATCCATCTCTTCATTGTTCAGTCTATTTTCTCTCTAAATTGAACTTAAAATTTATAATACTGGAGGTTGATTTATTTTATTGAACCTTTGGTACTCCAAGGAAAGTTATTTTACTAGAATGTGGTGACCACCTTCCCTCCAAACATATTGATTTACTACCCATCTAAAAATATTCATATTTAAGTTCTTATAGACTATAATTTTGTCTTTCAAACCTAAACCCTTCTCAGCAAGAGAAATAATTAATTAGTTGGAAGAAGAAGGGATTGTGCATGTGCTTGATGTGATTTCCTCTTGAACCATGGTTTGCATCTCTTTCTAAGACTGAAAATTTGCTGCTTTTGGTTCTAGGTTGAGGGCAGGGAATGTCATCTTTAATTACAGATATTACAATAATAAGTTGCAGAGGACTGAAGGTATTATTTCTTCTTCCAATTTTTTTTTTGGGGGGGGGGGGGAGGGTGTGAATCATAGATGTGTTGTGCTGTACTTGCCTTGTAAGTAGTCGAAGTGTGGGAGAGTATTTGACTAGGAAATTGCAGTCTGAAATTATAGATGCTATTTTTGGTTGGTAAAGCTGTTGGCACTAATTAGAATTGGAGTCAAATATTTTCTTGTTGTTAGATCCTTTTCTTTAGCTGCTTATAACTCAAGCAAAGGATTATTTTTCTTTAAATTTTTTGGTTCTTCCCTCCTGGTGTAGTAGACACCTTTGTTGTCTAGTTAATCATTAGCATTTTGTTTTGAAATTTTTATATAATTTATGCGTTGTACTCATCTTATTGATATAATGTAATAAATTTCATTTGTTTGCAGTAACTGAAGACTTCTCTTGTCCTTTCTGCTTGGTAAAATGTGCAAGTTTTAAGGTTGTTCCTTTTGTTTCTATTTTTCCTTATTCTATATCATTTTGATTCAAATGAATTTGAATTGATAGTACTTAGACATTTATGGTTGAAGCTTAAATTTTTTATATAGGGTTTGAGGCATCACTTGCCAGCATCCCATGATCTCTTCAACTTTGAATTTTGGGTCGGTAAACTTCAGGAATCTGTGGTGGCATTCTGATAATTGATGCTTGCATACCAAAATTTCTAATACATAAATACTTTGTAGGTAACTGAAGAGTATCAAGCTGTTAATGTGTCAGTCAAAACTGATAGTTGGAGATCTGAGGTCAGAACATTTTCTTGCCAAGCCTTGCAGTACTCTGTTTGTTAACTTGTTTCTGTTTTATTTTCCCTTCTCATAACTGAATTAAAACTAGCTCCTAAATTAACTGATTTGGACAAATGTTTATGGGTCAGGCCACCAGACCCTTTTGAAATTAATATCAATTCTTTCAAATTTATAAGGAAAAAGATTCTGAAATAGTTCAAAGTTTGAGTTTTATTTTACTTAAAGATTAAGGTGAAATTTGCCAATTTACTATGACTCAATATTGAATTCGCCACTGTACTTCAAATTAGTTACATGGTGAATGAAGACGCTAGCTTCTATCTTCAGATAGAAGAGAGGATAGGAACCTTTCAAGTATAACTAGTTTTTGTATAACTTGTCATTTTTGTCACTCTTGTAATTTAAAAATGTATGTATTCTATTCAGATTGTTGCAGATGGTATTGATCCTAAACAACAGACTTTTTTCTTTTGGTAAGTTGTTTGACTTGCCATTTTATGTGCTAGTGAGTTTCTTTGCCTTCATGTTATTCCCATAATCTGAAGTTGGTAGCTCATATGCATGCACAGCTCTAAGCAATTAAGGCGTAGACGACCAAAGAGCCTGGTTCAAAATGCAAGACATGTACATCCAGTTTTCTTGGAGTCAAATCTGCCAGCAGGAGGCTCTGAGCTTCTTGACAAGGCACATGGTATAACATTGTTATTAATGATTGCATACTTATTAGTTTTCTATAAAAAGGTTATTTTGTTTAACCATATTTAATATATTGTTTACGAAATGGAAGGTTCTCTAGGTGTTCCCGGACATGGAAAACTGAAACAAGGTTATGGAATGAAAAATGAAACAGAAAAATGCCAGCTTTGACTAAAAATAATCTCTTCCTAGTAATCCTTCTAAATGGGTTGACATTAGGTGTTTGAATTTGAGGTACTAATTTTTGGCATCTCCAATTATGTTTCTTCAAACATTCCAGGCTAAAAGCAAGATCTTAAGCAGCATGTTCTGGGGCCAAAAATCTAATGCATGTAAGATGGAACTCTATGGTGCTTGACTCAAGTCCTTAGAAATGCAAGAGATGCCTAAAAATTACCAATAGATCATATGGCCAAACAATTTTTATGAGTATACCATTGTTGAAAGACCTGTACTATGTGCATAAGTCTCGAACTTTCTAGATTGAGCTGATCAGCTGTAGGGATCATGTTTGTCACTTTAGCTCATTCAAATAATGATGAAAGGGCTGTTGTCTCAGGTGGAAACATTTTACGAAATGCTAGAATTGGTGCTTTGGAGTGTGCTCCACATCTTCCGTCCAGTTCCAACGTTGCAGGGGTTTCAGGTGCTGCAGGACAATCATATTCTGATTCAGAACGTGTACAATCAACGTCTGGAAACAATCTTATGCCCCCTGCCTTGTTGCAATTTGCAAAGACAAGAAAAATATCAATGGAACGTTCTGATCCAAGGAAGTATGTCTGGGTTTTTTTTCTCTATTCAATTAATTTATACCAGCACTGTGCAGTTGTAAAATGCTTTACTTATTTTCATAAGAACATGGCTGATGGAGCTTGTTCTGGGTGTTTAAAGGCATTGCCTAGTCATTTTTTTGTACCTTTCTGCATTAGGTATTTTCTGATGCAAATGGTAAAAGCTATTGTTGTATGATTATTTTGCTAGAGAATTTTGGTCTCAGAACTGTAGGGGGTGGGAGGTACTTTCTCCACTTCCCTATGTGTCAAGTGGCCACTGCCATTCCTGATTCAGGCATAGCTGTTCTAAATCCAATATCCACCATCTCCCTCCCATTTTAGCCATATAAGTGACAAGAATAGCTGTAACCAGCCAGTTAAAAGATGAAACTTTGTTCTTATAAAGCTGATGCGCTCTTTTGGGCATGTCTCTTGTTTAGATAATTTGCTTCTTTCGCCACCATGCATTCTTTTCCCCTAAGATAAAGGGTTTATTGCTGAACCATGAATATGGGTTTGATATTTTCCTTCTATGTCTTTTCAGCCGTACGCTCCTACAAAAGCGACAGTTTTTTCACTCACATAGAGCACAGGTAACTGACTACTTTGTAATTTGTATTTGTTATCTGGTTCTGGAAAAGTGTGTGGTATCCATAATTTGTACAGTGCAAAAAATGAGAGAGAAAGGAGAAAGAAAAATATTGCCTTCTGTTGCTTTACATTTATCTCACACATACATTACCGCTGTTAAAGAGTATGGATCTAATTTTTGATTTGTGCCCTAGATAGCTGTCTGTGGAGGGCATATGAAATGGATGGGGACTGTGGTTCCGGTTTTCCCTTTTGCTTTGCTTGGTAGGAAGGATGGAAAACTTGTTAATCTAATCATTAAAATTCATAACCACTTTTCTACTTTGTAGCTTAACAATTAGATTAACAAGATTTCCATCTTTTCTACCAAGCAAAGCTTTTGAAATATGTTGTGTGGTACACTTAATTTGCCTTGCATAGCGTTAGTTTTTGTCAAGAAAACTGAGTAATTGTCAACTATGAAATTCTTGACTGATCTCACTTTCATTTTATGCTTCAAAATCTCTGAAACTGGATATCGCTGCTTGAAGCCAATGGTGATAGATCAAGTATTGTCTGACAGAGACAGCGAGGATGAGGTTGATGATGATGTTGCAGATTTTGAAGATCGAAGGGTATGTTATTTATTTGTTTATTGTTTCATAATCTTGTAATTATAATGCTTGTTTGGAAGGACATATTGTGTAAGATTTTGGTCAGTGGCTAAATAAAAATTGAAGGATGATGTAGGTATTGGCAAGCACCATTTTAAAGGCAGTCTTTAGACTAATGTACAGAAAGCTCAGAAGCATAGTAACCATTTTGATATTAGTAGATTTGTTTCAAAGGAAAAATATTAAGGATGATTTGCGAAAAGATGTGTAGATTTTAATCTCATGAAAATGCTTTTGGGGATGTAAATTGAATTGGTGTGACTCAATTACCTGCAATGTGGACAAGGTAGGAATTGAAATCAGTGAACATATGAACAATTACTAACATTTACAAACCATTACAAAAATGACGTCATGGTACTCTGAATGTCTGCAATGCCTAGGTCGCTCTTGAATGAATTGCATCCTGGTGAAGCTGTTTTTTCATTTACAAGATTGCATTAATATACATTAGCACCTTGCAGATGCTTGATGATTTTGTTGATGTAACCAAAGATGAGAAGCAAATAATGCATTTATGGAACTCGTTTGTGAGGAAGCAAAGGTAACCTCATCTTTCTACTTTTCTTTGGTTTTTTGCTTTTCTCTATTTCTTTTCCCTTTTTCACTTGAAACAGGTTGTCAAAATGACATATAATCCATGCCATTATAACTTATAAGTTCTCTAGAGAAAGGGGTTGCGTCATGGATGCAAGGACCTAGGATTTGCCATTCTAATATAAGCAATGTTTCTGGCATTCTTCTCTGCCCATGTCCTTGCTTGGACGTTCCTCTAAAGTGGTTTTTTTCCCTCCTCTTCTCTCTCTCTCTCTCTCTAACTATGATGCAAAAAGTATGTTTTAACACTATTGAACCCGACTGATTTGATACCCAGGATGTTGGTTTTGTTTTTTTTTTCCTGTTTTTGGTGTTTCATTGGCAGTTTCTTCATTTCACACGTGATTTGAGTAATTCAATAGTTCTTTAATTGTTTCTCTTATTTGGTTGATTAGATTCGAATTAGTGTTGTGGTTATCCATTTGCTGTTTCTGTTTTTAATCTTTTGTTTTCATCTTGGCAGGATGTTGGCAGATGGTCATATTCCATGGGCCTGTGAAGCATTTTCAAAGTTACATGGGCCTGACCTTGTCAAAACCCCAGCTCTCATCTGGTAGATCTTCTCTTTTTTGTTTTCATTCAAAATTATTGCTGTGTGCTTCAGGCATTCTGCTTCTACTTTTTTATACCCTCTTCTGGTAGTTTCATTCATTTTTTTTTTTTGTATGCATTTGCTGGGCTGACTATATTATACTAGTGTTCTGAGTATTTCTGATTGGATGATGTATAAAATCATCTTCATAATGCTGCCTCTTCTGCATGAGATTGTAGTTTTGCTGCCCCCATTTTATGTGTACCTTGGATGTATGATTTAATGTAGTCAAAATTAACCATCTGTTGCATTGGCAGGTGTTGGAGATTATTCATGATTAAGCTGTGGAATCACGGTCTCCTCGATGCTCGAACTATGAATAACTGTAATATAATTCTGGAACAATGCCAAAAGCGGGATTCAGATCCTATAAAAAGCTAAAGGCAGGTAATTTTTGCTTGCTTTTTGGCAATAGGCAATTGGTAAACAACCATGATGCAGAAATGTTGCTCACCAGCCACCCTCCCATTTTTATAATGGTCGGTGACCTTAAGGCCAACTATGTTGCTGTAGTTTTGTACAATCAACTGGAATAATTCACATGTCTTGGTATTCTTAATTCCTTTACAGAAGCTTTTTTTTTTTTTTCTGCAATCTCTTTGTTTGCTTTTGTCACTTGTTTTTCTTTTTCGTTTTTACTAAGCACTATTCTGTCCTGGTTTTGAATTTGATGTTTCCCTTCTTTAATCCTGTTTATTTTGTATCTTACATGTTTAAAATAAAAATTATATTCAAATGTTGATGCATCAAACATATAATATATATTTTTGTTATATATATATATATATTTTGTTATATATATTTGTAAAAATTGTATTTAAATTTAAATCTAAATAGAGGTAAGAAAAAAAAAAAGGGAAGAAAAAATATTGAAATTTAAACTAAACCCACACCAGAGGACCGACAACAACAACAACAAATGTTTATGAAAGTGAATTATTACTCAAGTTTTCAACAAAACCATACCCCAAGTTTTTATACTACTTATAAATTTGGAATATTGTCATAGAATTAACAGGAACATTCTAATGACTTAAAGAGAAGGCCAGACTGCTATGATAGCCATTTGATCCGCAGAAATCAATTGCAAAGCGGCACAAATTACCTAAGAAGACCTTGCACCTGTGAGCTGCTCAGTCCTGTCCTTCATCTCCCAAGCCTTGCTAGCAAGCTTCATACGAGCCTGGTCCAACTGATCCACCCCTAGTAGGTGTCTTCCGGTAACATACCTACAAATCATTGAAAAACAAAAACGTCACATTTTCTTTTAATAAAAACAATTATAAAAAGAATAACTTGTTTTAATTTGTAAATGCACCTATAAAACCACGGCAACACAGTTACTGCCGCAACACCGAAGCCGTCGGAAGCCACGAAACCTGTGACTAGGAGAGCTGCTGCAATGACAGCAGGGACAAGAACCGGACTGAAAGTGACGAAAAGTGGAGTAGCTATTGTGAGTGCAATAACCGTGCCAGCCAGGGTCAAACCGGAGAGGATAAGGAGGTAACCCCGGCGGTAACAGCCGTATTCGTCCTCACTATCTGGTGGGACCTTGGTTGATCAGCCATTGATGCAAAAAATTAAATGTCAAGAAATTGAAGAATAAATTCTTGTATATTAATCAATTGATGAGCTTGAGAAAGAGGTGGGTTTAATATAGAGGGAAAAAGAAGGGCATGTGTTGATGATGCTTCCATGCAGGGGCTGCTTGTAAGAAAGTGGTTGGTTTTAGGACACGCAGATTCTCGTCGGATTTGAGGTTTGTTGGAAAATTGCAGATGACCATTCTCATTATGTGCGTTCGGACATTCATTCTCCATTCTTAATAACTCTTAACTAAACAAAAATACATTAAAACCAAAATTTTTATAAATTTCTACAATTTATTTAACAAGATAAAAGGGTACTAAAAAACTTTTATTCTTATTTTTCATAGTTTTTTTTTTTTGCTATGTAAGCATTTAATTATCACTTCAGTTCTTGATTTCTTTCATAACACTTGTTTTACTATAATTTTTATTTGATTTAGTTCCAAAAATTGATAATAAGTTTGAAAAGTGAGATTTTTTTTTTAAAATTTTTGAGAGATTATATTTCAAATTTTAAACTTTGTTAAGGAATGCTTATAAATTAGGCGATCCTTCCATAAAAAAAATGATAATTGGTTCCGATTTGAACTTTCAATCTTGGATCTTATACATTAATTTACATGATTAACCATCTTAACCACCTCATATGCTTTAGCTAGTTTAAGTGTAAAAATTGCAAAACGGTGTACTATTTTTTTCATACTTTAAAGCTTCAATTTCAAGAAATCCCAACTCATATTTCTATAATTGTTGCATTTAATAAGTTACACATGATTGAGTTTTCAAAACCTGATCGTTCTTTGATTCATGGCAAAGATTAAGATGATAATCTAGGATTTCAGGTTTGTTGTTATTGTTTGTTGATTTATAGGTTTTTCGAGTGTTCGGATTGTAGCACCAGCAAATATCTTAAATTCTAAATTTTAAATTTTAAATTTTAAAATATAATTTAAAAGATTATAAGACAGAAATTAGTAATTAATTCTAGTTTAATGATTCGTGTATTTGTGTCATGTAATATTTTAAAATTATATATTTATATTATATTTTATTTAAAAATTATGTATCTTAATTCATATCAATACAAAAATATAAAATATTTTTTTATTTTATTAAATTTATATATAATTATTATTAAAATTTTAAATCATATTATTTTCATATTTTATATTCATATCGTATTCGTATCATATCAACATATTATATTTTAAATTATCAAATCTAATTAATGTTACTTTGATTTACTCCTCTAAGGCAAGAGATTAAGCAAATCCAAATTAATTTTTCTTTAAAAACTTTAAAAGGTGAAGATCAAATTATATCCCCTTTTTAAAACAGCATCCATTGATGCACAAAGAAAATATCTTCTATTATTATTTTTTTAAAACAGCACGAAATCATGAATACCCGTGTCTTTATTGAAAAATTGAGATTTGATTTTTGCATATACAACTATATATGTGCATATTTGTTGGATATTATTATTTTTAAGTAGCAAAAGATTCTTAGATTCTACTCAATATTTTTTTTTTATCGGTCCAAATAAATTTATCTATCTCGCACCTAGGTTGGATATCATATTTGAGCCTTTAAAAGATATATAATGCATTGTTATTTTATTTAAAAAAAAAATACTTTGTTGTTTGAAAAGGACCAATAATAAAAAAATTATTATAGTAGCAAACAAATCCTTTCCATTATTTACGTTTGGATTTGAGCATTTAGATGAATGGGCTTTGGAATACAACATGGCTCTCCAGCATCACCCAATTCAGCAAAGTGCAGTTCGGCCCACTTAATATTATATATATATATATATATATTATGCAATTATATCAATTTATATATTTTATATAAATATATAAAAGTCAAAACTTTTTACAAAAAGAAAAAATATCTTATATGAATGGCTTAAAATATTAACAGTCTTAAAAATCTCTACGTTACATCTAATAAATATATTTTATTTTATTTAATATATATTTAATTTAAAAATAATTTTAAAAAATAAATAAATTATATTTATGTTTTTATTATTGACTTTAAATCACTTTTATTTAAATTCAAATTAAAAGTATTAAAATTTTGATTGTCATCTTAAATAAATATATAAAAGTCAAAACTTTTAGTAAAAGAGGATAATTTTTAATGTAGATAACTTATATTAATGACATGTGTACGATCTTGAAAATCATCATGTGTCTTATATTTTATTTTATTTGAATTATTTTTAAAAAATTAAATTAATTACATTTATTTTTTATTATTATTTACATTAAATCACTTTCATTTAAATTTATATTAAAAGTAATAAAATTTTAATTGCCATAATTTTGTGTTCTCTTTTTTCAATTATAATATTCAACTCTTAAATTACATTTGTGTAAAAAAATATTCACTTCCCAATTTTTTAATCTATGATTTATTTATTTACTCCACCTTTTAAGCTATGTATACATGTTTAATATGTATATATATATTAATTTTAAAATGATTAAAAGATGTTCGAATAAATTAAAGTTAATTTTGGAATATATCAAATCAAATAAATTTCATTACCATTATTACACTAATTTCAAATAAAATGAATTTTAATTGTCAAGCATAAATTACTCATAATTAAAATACTATTATTAATCTTAATTTGATTCTTAATTTAATTTTAATTAATCAAACATTCAAAACTTACAAATTATCTCATGTTATTTTCAAAACCCATATTATATAAATAATGGTGTTTTGGTATGCTTGAAAAATATTTTTCCCCTATTGTTGTGATATTCTTTTGCCTACAGTAAACCAAGTGTAGACTAATTTTGTCTGAGTCTATCAGATAAAATCTTGTTTTTAGTTTTCGTTCATTTATATTAAAATTATTAATTAATAATAATAATAATAATGATAATATTGGTTAAATAATAGAATAACAAAATAAAATTAATACAAATAAATAAATATTATTAAAAAAAAAAGATGGGACGAGAATAGGCATAGTGTCGTACATGACACCAACCTATCCAACTGTCCTGCCACCATCATGCATCCCATCAAATCATCCACCTTGCAGCCACCAAGAGTTTACCCTACAACCTACCCTACTCATACATCCAGTCACCTCTGCAACCATCATGCAACCACCACTTACGCTGCCCATTATCCTAGACACTCAGCCTCTTATAAAACATCCAACTTTCACACCTAAAAACTTTTCTTGACATATCTTCAAACACTTGGAAACCCCAGCTTGTCCATGTATAGAGATCCCTAAGTTTCCACAACAAGAAAAATCTAAGCTTCTACACCCAAAAACCTTAAGCTTTTTCACAATCAAAAACTTCAAATCTCCTAAACCCTCTAACCTAAACAAAAAGCCAACCAATAAAACCACAAAAAAATAGTCTTCCTTGTAAAGAGGAGCCTCAGTGCTAAAGCCACCTACAACAAAGAAAAAAAGATCATCAATTAGTTTTTTTTTTTAAAAAAAGGAAAAAAGAACACCGAAACTTCAATCTTCGATCTGTGTCGATCGAGGCTATTTCTCTGAAAAAATAGGATGGATTTGGGCTCAAAAAATTGAAAGAAACTTTTTAGTGAATTTTGATATTTTTCAGTCATCGACGATCACCGACAACCACCAACGACAACTTTAAATGGCTGCTGGTGAGATGTCATGATGTTGATTTCTAGCAAGGCTAGAGAGAATTTTTAGAGCTGAAGGATTTTTTTTTTCTGAAGGAGGGATGAAATGAACCAAAACAAAAAAGCTGACTTTTGTATATAAGTCTAAAAACAAAATGACATCATATTGGGTAAGGAGGATCCGCATGTCCCCATGACCCAACCAGAGATCTGCGTAAACCGATCCATTGACCCAACACCCCTTAGCCCCAGGCCCTGATCGATCCAACTGAATCGGTTTGAACTATCTCTACCCTAAACCGCTAGACCAGACCAAACCGATATTGACTGGATCGTTGACCGGTTCAGTTCAAGTAAAATTTTTTTTATATATTATTTATATCATTTTTAACTTTATTATTATTGTTATTTATGCATGTTTTAAAACTTTTGAAATTTATAGAATAAATATTTCTTGTTTTATAATAATAATTAATAATAATAATTAAATGACAATGACAACAA